CTGTCTGATAACCCAGCTAGGCTGGAAGAAATCAGTCTTTCTCCCATTTACAAGGACAGAAGTAGAGCTTGAAGAAATGCAGGACATGATTAATTTTGTCATATTGTGGGGAAAGCCAAAGGACACCAAGGTGTCTCTACTGAAGGACCATTCTAGAATGTCAAATACTTTTTCTATGTCAATTTTGAGGATCATGTTAGCATTTTTCCCTTTCATCTTAGTAAAGTGATTGATGTATTCCTGAACTATGATGGCATTATCACTTGCCCTTCTATTGGACAGAAAACTGGCCTGACTTGGGCTAATGATGGAAGGAAGGACAAGCTTGATTATATTAACAATTATTTTGGTAATCGGCATGTACATTGTGTTGCATAGCCCAGTAGGTCTGAAATTCTTAAGGATTGTGGCATTGGCACACTTAGGAATCGGGCATAGGTAGGTTGTATTAACTTATGATTCATTTCTAGGGTGTTAAAAGTCTAGTTACAGAATTGAGTCACTTTTCTCTCCAGGATATTCCATTATCTTTGGTAAAAGAGGGGGTGTAGACCATCAGGACCAGGGGCCTTAGTAGGTTTGAAAGAGAACATAGCCAACTTTATTTCACTACTCCTAAGGGGAGCACTCAAAGTAGCTTGCTCCCTATTGGACAGAGTGTGGGCATCATAGATTATGCTTTTCCAGGGGGTGGGGGAGCCTAGATGTTCAGTGGTGAACAGCTTGGAGTACTAGTGGTAAATGGTGTTCTGGATTTCCTGTTACTCCTCAATCCAATTTCCTACTTCATCCTACAGGGCCATGATTTTGTTCCTTCTTCTCCTATTGAGGGTAGAAGTATGGAAGAATCTAGTATTAGCATCACCCTCCATCAGCCAGTTAATCCTAGACTTAGTTTTTTCAAAAGACATCTTCACATTTGAGAATAGAGGATTATTCCTCCAGAAGTTGGCCCTCTAGGCTCTCAAGAAAGGTGCTGAAGAGGTAGGCATTAGATTTCTATATACCCTCAAGTCCGGCAATAATGTGCTTCTTCTTATGGAATATATTACCAAATATAGTCCTGTTCCAGGTCATCACCTAGGCCTGGAACTGGGCATTGCCTCTTTCAAGGCTACCACACCCTTTATATGCCTGTTGGACAATGTTGGTGAAGGATGGGTGACTACATCACATGGGTTCAAACCTAAAAGGTTTGGAAGTAGTATTGAAAGCATTGGGCCACAAGCTGATCAGCATAGGGCAGTGATTAGAGTGTTTTCTAGGGAGGTGGCTCACATTGCTAGAAGGGTAATCCTGGATCCATTCATCATTGGCAAAGCACCTATCTAGTCTCTCGAGGATTAACTGACTCCTATTTAAATACCTCATGTTAGTCCAAGTGTATTTACTCCCCTTAAAACCTAAGTCAACGAGCTTACAGTGATTAAGGCAGTGCCAGAACAGGTGAGCTCTTGGGGCAGAGATGCAGTTTCCCCCATGCTTATCTCTAGCCCTTAAGACTTCATTGAAGTCCCCCCTCCCCCCCTCCCCTCCAATAGCCAGCTCCCCTTGTAACCATCAGAGATAGTTTTAAGTTGATCCCATTGGGCCCTTATGTTAGCATAAGTGTTGCTAGTATAAGTAGCAGTGAAAAGCCAAGGGGTGGAAGAGGGAGTTACCTTGACCATGACATTGATGTCCTGGGGAGTGGTGGAGACTTCATCAATCTTCAGCATGTCATCCTTCCACATAATGACAATGCCTCCTGATAGGCCTATAGCAGGGTTATGTATTTTCCCTGTGAATCCCAGCTCCAGAATGAGGTGTTTGTGCTCGTCATCCTTGTTTCCAAGAGGACCAGCATAGCAGGCTTGTGCAGCTTAACCATCTCAGCACAATGTCTCCTAAATTCCCCATTGCTAGCCCCTCTAGCATTCTAGGTACTAAAATTCATCAACAACATTGGGTTGGTTTGTGGCTTCCTTTTCAAGAATTTGAATTTCCCCTTCACTGTTTGGCTCTCTGGGTTCTCCATCCCCTGAGGATTCTAGGGAGTTAACTGGGCCATTACTGGTTTTAAGTTCACAGCTGAGTCTCCCGAGTTTGGCTTTAAGGCTGATCTTAGGCTTACTCCACACATTACTATGCTTCTTGGGCATAGTACGATAAGTATTTCTCCCTCATGCCCTCCCAACTCTATTGTTTTCTCTTGCTGTAGAAGCATAGCTTTGGTCTTTGGCACTCCAGCCTTGTTATCATTTTCTCTAAATCTATGTTGGTGGCCTCTAGATGCTCGTGGACATTTTTTGACCCTATCCTTGGAGATGGGGTCCTTGTCCTCACTGGTGTCTATGGGAAGAAGGGAGGGCTGGGGATCCCCTCCGCTGGAGAGACTAGTAGGAAGAAGGGGAGAGCATGGCTTATCTGCTGCATGAGGAGGCTCAGCTGATCTATTGTCATTGTTTGCTGGCTTAGTGCATACTAAGCTTGCATGAGGGTTGCCAACCACAGTTAGTGCCCATAGTTCAGAAGGGCATGGTTCAGGCTGGCTGTGACTAGTTTGGCCAAGTATTAGGGGGTTTTGAATTACCAATAAGATGGGTACTGTCCCTATCGAGAAGTTCAAGGCAAAGGCAATACCCTTCAGTGCCATCTCCAACCATGAGGTTGGAATGTAATCCATGGGGAGTGGGGTAGAAGAGACCCTTATCTGATTTGGATCTTTCCCTTGGTTCTGCATGTTGCTACTGTTTGTTGGGTTGTTTTGTTCCCCCTCCATTGTTAGAGTCTAAATGATAGTGGAGTTTACCTCACAAATGTGCCTTCATTTCCTTTTAAGCAAGGGTCTTCTCCGTTGGGTTTCCGTGCATGAAGATTTCTCATCATTAGAAATCTTTAGAGGCGAAGGCGTCAGTCAAATCAATAGAAATAGGGTGATGATGGGACACAGTGTTGGTTATAGTGTGAGAGGGAGAGTGAGAAGGCTTAATTAAATCCTTCTCCCGTTGCATATTGTTAGTAATATTGTTAGAGAGATCAGGTGTAACCCCATTAGTAGGCCCCAGAATTTGATTTGTGTCAGAGCAGGGGGTTATTAGATTTGGGATTGCACTTTGGGTATTTTTCATACCCGATATGAGAGCGTGTTTCCCTCCCTCGGCCGCGTGAGAGGCGTTAGGTGTGTGAGTGGGGAGGCACGTGCCCAACTTGTACTCTAAACTCGGCATAAGCTGTGAAATGTGCTGTCGGTTTGGACTGTGCGCTAGAGGCCCAGACAGTTGCATCATGGGCCCATGTGGCCTAAGATGCCTGTCTTGTTGGGGGGGCTATCCCAAAGAATCCTGTGTGGCTTGATTTGGAATCTTCGTTTGGCCCATATTTCCCGCATCCCTAGCGCGCCATGCTCCGTAGCCTTGTTGCTGCCCTCAAAATCATCTAAGTTACTAAGGACGTTGAACTTACCTGAATCTGATGATCGCTATCCGCTCCCCGATTTGTTCTCTGTTACCTCGGGTCATACCCGGGCTTTGAAACCTTCTGTTATCCTTTACCGTTTTGCTTTTCGTGGGAATTCCACCACTTTCCAGCCATCATTTTCTTTGGTTTTGTGTCATGCCGACGATATTTCTGTTGTGTCCTTTGCCCCTATCTGCCGTTGATTTGGGCATTTCTTGAGTAGGTGACTTAGTCGCCCACACCCCTTGCACATGATACCATTACCTTCATACTCAATTGGTTGTTTATGTTCCCCAATAAATACCATCGTTTGGAGTGGTACCTCGATGGGTACCTGGATGCAGATCCATGCATACCTGCCTCTTAAGGTAGCAGAGGTGCACGTATTTATTTTCAGCAGCCTACCAACCTTTTTCCCCACCCTTTCCATGATCTCTCTATCAAAGAACTTTGTGGGTAATTGGGGGAGTTAGATCTAGATGGCGGTGGCGTGTATTTTTTATTCCGCCAGAATAAAGTTCGATTCCCAACTTATGACGGAGAGGAAGTGTCCCATGACGAACCATGGGCCTCCGTGCAATGCAATAACCATGTTCTCTTCCTTTTCAAATTTCACCACAAAGAAATCCCAGCCTAGATCTATCAGTGTTAGTTGTTCACTGAGATGCCATAGGTGCTGTAGTTTCTGTTTCAATAGGTGATGGGGAATTTTTTTTCCCCAAAGATCTTGATGATTAATGAGAAACACCATAGGTGGTAAAGTCTGTTCTTTTGTTCCTGGCTGAGAATGATGGGCCCGGTTGTGTCTTATGGGGTGGGTGTTAGAGCTGCCTCCAGTTGGTGGTACTGATAATTGTATGTGCTTGACTTTGTCAAGTTCTTGTCCGCTAGTATTTCCTTAAAGGTGTTAACCTTTTATTTTGGAGTAGATTCAAATTCCATCGGAGTTGAATTGGCGTCCGGTGGGTCGGGGGGTTTTAGTGCCAGTGATAGTTGGTCCTGTGCGGGGGTGGGGGTGGAGGTGGGGGTGAGGCCATCTAGGGGGAAGGAAATAATTGTAGAGAGAGAAATTCTTATACTCTCGGTCAGATTAATGGATTTCGAATTTCCTATTAATGCTACCAATTAATAATCTCTCCATTGTAGTGTTATTTTTTTTTTGAATAATTCAAATAAAAATTATTTTCCCTGATTTAGTTTAAGTCATCTTGTCAAAGTAATACATGTGTCTTTACATAAAGTTTATTATCATTAATTATTATTTATTTTGATAGTTATTTGTGACTTAATGACTAATCCTGATAAACTAACATTATCTGATTATGCATCTGATCCAAGTTAACTTCTTATTTTTCTCAGAGTAAGGGTTTCCTCTGACACTATTAATTGTAAGAAAGAAATTGAAATGCGAAGTATACACACTAGAAAAAACGGTTAGTATATAGGAGTGAGATACGGAAAACAGTTGGCGAACAAATGGCGCCAAAACAGAGAAGAAAAAAGCAAGACTTTTCCATTATTTTCCACCCGTCAAAAACAAATACAAGCAGTTTCTCTCTTTCTTTCACTTTCTCTTTTTCTCTGCAAATTTCGATTTTTCTCCTACGGATGTGCAATGCCTGTGGTACTCTCTATTATCCACAAAGGTACAACAATGATAATTCAATGTCCAATTTTGTCCAATTTCCTTTATACAGTGATGCCAATTCGTTATGTTTCCATTTTCCGCTGTTATTTTATTTTCATGGATCTCAAATCGCATACGCTGCAGAAGTAAATTATATTTGGAAAGTCTCATTTTTTTTTATAAAATTCCATTTTTATACAGTTTAATTTTTGCAAGGTCTATAGTTTATCTATTGGCAAGACAACCTCATGCATGCATTATACTATATACTTTTGAATCAGTTGATTGATTGTTTAGTTATGAATATCAAACATGGTAATTGATATTTACTTGCCATATCCCGTTATACGTCAGGTCGGATTTGCATTTGGTATGAAAAATATTTTCTGTGAAAATATGTTCCCTTAAGAAATCATTCTCTGGAAAAAAAAAAATTCCCAATGTTTGTTTGGGTATAAAGAGTAGGTGACATGATAATTGTACAAGTTTGAGATAGGTAAAGAATTCCCCGCACCCAGTGTTTACGCTAGACTATACTAATTTACTATGGTTAAGTTACAAAGTCAGGTGAGAATGTGTATTAATTAACTTAGTATGATTTAATAATAAGGGTGGTATGTCAAAACATGTCATGTATTCATTGGGTTAGTGTAAACACCGGGTGCAGATAAGTTCTTACCAGATAAGATAGATAGTACGGTAATGTTTTCATGATATTTTTGGGTATTAAAAGTTGATAATAATGTTTTAAGTGTTGATTGAAGTGAGACTGAATAAGATGGGTATTTGTACTGTCTATAGGTGAGGGAAGTTATTTTCTCCATTTTGATAGAAAATATGTTCACTAGAAAAGACATTTTCTAGATTTTAAGGTAGACAAACACTATATTTTCCTTGATGAAACCATTTTCCATCACCCCAAGCACATAAGTGGAAAATGACTTCAATCTAAAGAGGACTCTCCAAAATTAAAACTGTTAACTTTATTGGTTTCAATGATACTTGTTGTATTGCCATTGCTAACTATCCCTAATCACCCTTTGGCTAATTTGGTTTCTATCGTATATATCAGGTGTACGATGTTGGAAAACTTTTAACTCAATTAGGATGTAGTACCTGTAGCTGATCATTGACAAAGAGTATACAACACATGGGAAAGGGTTTGCGCCTTCGAGATTCTAGTTTTATGCGAGAAAGTAATCCTCCGGGATGCTTGTTTGGGATACTTCATCATTTAAATCACCATCACCATCGGTGGCATCTAGTCCGGAAACGCCTCCCGCACATAAGGCAAGGTGGTGGAAAGCATCTTCCTGGTGAGAACAAACACTAGTTGTTTATCTATATCAATTTTCATACTATAGCATTTTACAAAATGAAGGGGTGTGTACAAGAATTAAGGCTTAATGTTATAGGAGTAGAGTAACTATACTCCTCAATTGTTGTTATTAAGCCTATTGATTGTGATTGAGAATTAGAGTAGAAGGTTAGTAAGTAGTCGAGCGTTTTACTTTTTCTTTCCCGTACCGGCAGTTTTAGTGTTAGGGTGTTTTTGTAACATTTTCCGGAATTTCTCATTTTCCACTGTTTGGTTGCACAAAATAGTTTGGAATATGTTTTCCTAGATATCACATTTTCCTGAATCTTTTTATTCTTAGTGATAACATAGTGTTTATAACTAACTAATTCCTTGTTTCCAGCAGCAGGAGATCTTGGAAGTAATGCAACTGCTACTGATTCTGCTAAAATTCCAGAAAACTCAGATGTCAAAGCGGATGATTCCCGTGTAAGTTTCTGCATCATATAACTGAACCTGCTTCAAAGTTTGGTATATTTCTGCTTTTGTTTTATGTGTTGCTTCTTCTGATACATGTGCAAATAGACATACCTGTGTAAACATTTGCACATAATTGTATATGTTAACAAACTTTACTATTTTCAGATTGTAGTGAAAACAGCAGGGACACAGCCCAAAAGTTCGATAAAATCTCGTTTAAAAGCTTTGATGACAAAAGAGCTACTATCTAGAAAAAGGGTCAGACATCGCCGAAGTTTGTCCTACCCTGCAAGGACACCGCTGGAACAAACTGCTTCTATTGATTATCTAGACCCTGCAAATGTAGATCCTTCTCCAAAAATTCCTTTAAACAATGAGACTTTGCAGCATCGTGAGAACGAGTATTCTTCCGTTGCCAGTTTGTTAGATCCACCCTTGCCTGAGAAAAGAAAGGATGCTGTTACCACCAACGACAGATGTAAGTTGTGTGCTGCTATGCTCGATATGAATCACTTAAAGCAATGTGATACTAACAAGAATGGGAAGCAACAAATCACAGACTTCAGTCTTCGTCGTACACAGTCACTTTATTTTAGAGAGCGGACTAAAAATGCCTCAATTGAAGAGTCAAAGCTATTTTTGGATGCTCTTGATTTACTAAACATGAGAGAGGAGGTATTCCTAAAAATATTAAAGGACCCGAATTCTTCGTTAGCGCATCAGTTACATGGTACACAGGCATCCAAAGGCTTAACCAAGTCCGTGTCATTTCCTTCACGTCTCTCACTGGGAAAAATTGCCAGGTCAAGCAGTCAAGATAACTCAGTAATATCGGCAAATTTGGATAGCGAGGATGAAGTTGCAAAAGGTGTGCCGATAAGACTAGATTCATTTGATAACATCCCTTTAAGTTCACCTGTTGCCAAACAGAATCGGCATCAAAGTAAACTTGTCCTTGAGCGTTTCAAGAACTTGAGGAAGAAAATAAGACATATGCTTAAGGAGAGCAGTAAGGAGAAGCGTCGAATTGTCATGGATTCTGTCCTTCATAAGGTTCCACATGATCGTAGTTCATCCAACGACGTTAAACAGGGAACCAATTTACTTGAGAAGCCAACTGCAGATGGAAATGACACTGGTCACTACTCTTCTCCATTTAGCAAGAGCCAAATGAAATGCTTTTCAAGAACGTCATCGCTCAATGAGTCAGTAGACAGATATAATAGATTACTTGAATCCTGCTTCAGTAGAGAAGAAAAACAGCACGGCTCTGAAATGTCAAGTTTAAGAGCGTCAAGATCACCTTCACCGGCTAGAAGTAGACCCATTGTCCTGGACAGGATTCTGTCTTTACCTGATCTAAGAAATTACCCTTCTTTCCGAATTGAGGACACTCCCGAAGCCAGTTATTCAGAAACACAAGATACAGCTGCATCGACTGAATCGAGCAACAACTTAAAACTGAAGTCCCTGGATTTTATTCCTTTAGGTTCAGAAAAGCAAACTAAACAAGATTTTAGTTCAGACTCCAAGATTCCCGAAGAGTTTGTTGATGTCAATGAGACTTCCGATGACTTAGAGGAGAACTTTTTTTCAGTTGAATGCAATACGGAGGACACTTCGTCTCCTAATTCCAAACTAGATAAACCAATTCCTATTCCTTTGCCGGATAAATTTCAGGAAGCTAATACTGTCCCAGAAGAGCTCTCCGCAACTGAAGGTATTATTTTGAGGCAATCTTACATTTTACTTTCTTCCCCCATTCCCATTTATCTTTCTTGACAGGAAGATATACACTACTCAAATGCTTCCCACAACGAGTCCTCATTTTCGCAATTTTTTTTCTAATACCTGTTTACTTTTGATGTGTAATTAACAAGGTATGGAAGAATCAAATTGGTATATTATTCCATGTAGTGATACATATATATACATGTACATCAGGTGCTAACTAAGGAAAGAAAATAAAAGAGATTCCTATAAATCTGCTATCTATATATGGGTTATGTACACTACTAAGAAACAGTCTATGTTCATTGTGTAAAGTGTCTAGGTTCATTCTGTAACACTCCCCCTCTAGCTGGAGCATATATATTGATCATGCCCAGCTTGTTACAAAGGTAATCAACTCGAGTGTCATTCAATGCTTTAGTGAACAAATCAGCTAGTTGCTCTCCTGTCTTCACGTAGCCAGTAGAAATCAAGTTCTCCTGAATCTTCTCATGAATAAAATGACTGTCAACTTCAATATGTTTGGTTCTTTCATGATACACTGGATTTGAGGTAATATGGAGTGCAGCTTGATTATCACACCAGAGTTTTGATGGAGTAGGATGCTTCAACCCAATTTCGGTTAAAAGGTAATGTATCCATATTATCTCACATGTTGATTGTGCCATAGCTCTATACTCGGATTCTGCACTAGACCTATATACAACATTTTGTTTCTTACTTCTCCATGATACCAAGTTTCCACAACAAATACACAGTAACGAGTAGTAGATCTTCTATCAATCTTGGATCCAGCCCAATTTGCATTTGCAAAACAATCAATGCGAGAAATGACCGTGATTCCTGTATAATATGCCAAGTCCAGGAGCTCCTTTCAAGTAACATAGGATCTTCTCCAAAGCCTCCCAATGTTTAACTATGGGAGCGGACATGAAGTGGCTAACCATACTCACTGCAAAAGCAATATTTGGACGAGTCACGGTGAGATAGTTTAATCTCCCAACTAACCTCCTGTATCTATCTGGATCATTAAATGGATCGCTATCATCTTTCATAAGATGCAAATTATGAACCATTGGAGTACTGCAAGGCTTGGCAGCCAGCTTACCAGTTTCTGCTAGTAAGTCAAGAATATACTTTCTCTGAGATAGAAAAATTCCCTTCTTGCTTCTAGTTATTTCTACTCCCAAGAAGTATTTCAGTTGTCCCAAGTCTTTTGTATGAAACTTAGTATGCAAGAAAGACTTGAGAGAAGTGATTCCTGCATAATCACTCCCTGTGATAACAATGTCATCCACATATACAACAAGGAGAATAGATCCAGCTGTCGATTGCTTGCAGAAGACAGAATGATCACATTTGCTCTTTTTCAGCCCAAATTCTTGAAATGCTTCACTAAATTTACCAAACCAAGCTCGGGGACTCTGCTTCAAGCCATATAAGGATTTCTTCAAATGACAGACCTTGCCATACTCCCCCTGAGCAACAAAACCAGGTGGTTGCTCCATATATACCTCTTCATGGAGATCACCATGAAGAAAAGCATTTTTAATTCCAATTGATGCAAAGACCAATTCTTAGAAGCAGCTAGAGAAATGAACAATCGGACAGAAGTAAGTTTGGCACCGGAGAGAAGGTATCTGAATAATCCACCCCATAAGTCAGAGCATAACCCTTAGCCACAAGTCTGGCCTTAAGTCTCGCCACAGAGCCATCAGGATTAACTTTAACCGTGAAGACCCACTTGCATCCCACTGCTTTCTTTCCACTGAGTAAATCCACTAAATCCCAAGTGTGGTTTTTCTCTAAGGCATGTATTTCATCAAGCATTGCTTCAGTCCATCCAGGATAATTCAAAGCCTCCTTCACCGTTTTGGGTATAGAAACAGAGTCTAGAGAAACAATCAAAGATCTAGATATAGGGGACAAGTGGTCGTAGGAAACAAAATTAGCAATATAATATGTGGATTTGCAAGTGCGTATACCTTTGCGAAGAGCAATTGGAAGGTCAAGTTTTTCTGGAGGGTCAAGTGGAGGCAAATCTGATGACGAAGGAACTTGTGCAGAACATGTATCATTCGTCTGTTGCCTCTGCGAGTAAACTTGAACAATTGGCAGTCTTGCTAACACAGTTGGAGCAGGTGTTGAAGTCAGAATAATGGATTGGTGCTCGTATCACGCCCCAAAACCGGGGGCGCGACCGGCGCTCGACCGGGTAGCCCCAGTCAAGCGGACCTGGCTGCCTTTCCTAACCCACGTGTTACCGCGTGATTTCTATACCCATTATTCAAGTGAAATAGCCGTTTATGATTAAACACATTCTTACTTTACGTGGTCTACAAGTTATACTGCCCAAATACAAAATACATAAGTACATAACCCACATTTCCTGTCTACGAAGCCTCTAGGGATACAAAAGAGTTTTACAATACTTGCGGGTAACAAGGCTCCGGCTATACCTTACACAAATACCAAAAATAAGACTCCGGGAAGAAAAGCGGCATGAGCCACGCAGGGCCCCGAGAGGAAAGGGGCTCACCAATACAGCTCACGGAAAGTGGAGGAGGTGCTACTGTCGGTGGACTGGAGTACCTGCTATAGAACTACCTACAATCATAACAAGAATGTAGCGCCCCCGGCAAAGGGGACGTCAGTACATTAGAACTGTACTGGTATGTATGAACGAACTTTACCCCAAGTAAAATCAATCAATACACAGATAACAAACAGTAATAGAATCAACAATCAAATGCACATGAAGGAACAACCAAAGCCAACAAGTTTCACAATCTCTCCTTTTTCCCTTTCAACATCATTTCATACTCAAGAGTCTCATACATTTTCATTTCAATAGTGAATATGATCACTTTTCCAACCTTATTACCTCGGCCACCCTTATTACCACAACCCACACCTTATAACTTCGTGTTGCGGCGCGGAACCCGATCCTACCGGACATTCACATTTAACACAACAACAATAGTTCACAGTTCAATCACATGGCTTCAGGCCATCCCGAATATCATTTCACAGCAACAATAACAATTTAAGTCACAACAATAATTGCCCACGACAAGCCACACATGATGTTACCACAGTTGTTTCAATTGCATCAATCACGACTTCTTTCCATCATTTATTTCACAGCCCTTACCACATAAACACATTCACACACACACTTGGTTTGTTGCCATTTATTCACACCGTCATATCGGAACATTAACCAACAATGTTCAAGGCAATTTAGTCACAAGAATTCATGAAATAGGCCATCTTGCCCTAACACCCGTGAAGCAAACAAAATTCACAAATAGTTCACATAAGAAAGCATACCGATTACTCGTACACCAAACAAGGTGACTTTACAAAGGTTGAAGTTAGCCATACATACCTGGAGTCGAATTTCCCTTTTTAACTTCTACTTTCAATTCACCAAACAGCCTAGTACCGTCAATCTAGTTCACAAGTTAACACATATATCTTAGAATTGAAGTTCACAAATACAATCCAAACTTATTTAGGTGATCAACCGCTCTTTTTTGCAAATCTTTACTCCTACCCAATTCCTCTTACTAGATTTTAGATATTAAAGAACATGCATGTATGGTTCAACTTATATCTTCAAGAATCAATTCATGAGAACCCCCTTTTTGTCTAAATCTGAAAACCAATGAAAAAGGGTTGGGGATTTTACCTGCAAGAATGAAGATGAAGATAATTACTCGAAATTTCCAGGCCTGGGTGACTTTGAAAATCAAATTGATAGAGATGAGACTTTCTCTCTCAAGAACCCTCCCTTCCCTCTCTCTACTTTTGTTCAGAAAATGGGTTAAAATGAAGGGTTGGGGTGTTTTATTGAAGAATGGGTCGGGTTGAAAAATTAGAAAAATTGGAGCCCCGACGCGGAATGCGGTCAGGAATGCGATCGCATTCCTGACATGCGGTCCGCAGACCGGTCGCAGAATGGTCCTCAAAAATGGGCTAAAATTAAAACACATTGTGTCGGTATGCGACCACTATGCGGTCCGCATAACCAGAATGCGATCGCATTCTGGACCGCATAGTTGTCCTCCAATTGAGCAGTGGCCTGCCCAGGTATGCGACCATTATGCGGTTCGCATACACGTTATGCGATCGCATAACGGCCAATTCCTGGAAAAATTTACGGGTCTTTACAGCTCGATAGAACTAGGAGATGGAGGAACATCATCTCGTTGTTTTGTCAAAGTACGAGTAACCTCATATGTAAAAGATGTGTTGGAATTATCTGGCTTTAGTGGAAATATATTTATGATGAACCCTTCCGTAGACTGTGGTTCCCATTCATCAAGGATGAATAGACTGTGGTTCTCATTCATCAAGGATGTAGAGATCACCAAATAAATATCCTTTACCAATAACCTGTTTTGTTGTAAGATTTAGAAACAAACAATGATCGGGAAAGAATGCAACACAACAATTAAGGTCTTTGGTGATTTTACTAACACAAATCAAGTTAAAGGCCAAGTTTGGTAGACTTAATACAGATGACAGGGTAATGGAGGAAGTTGGTTTAACAGTCCCAGATCCAACACTGCTACAAGTTGATCCATCGGCTACAGTAACTGGAGAGGGTGCTTTATGCGAGCGAAAGCTAGAAAAAATATTTGGATTACCTGTCATCTGATTTGTGGCACCTGAATCGACCACCCATTTATTGAAAAATGTGATAAGACATGTTTTATCTGACCCAGCAAAGGCAGTAACTGAAGAAGATTCCTTAACTGATTTATGATTTGAAGGAATTGTAGAAACTCATCCGAAACCAAGATTGCTGGACTAGGAGTTGTTGCATTATTATTCTTACCATCATTTTTTTTCTATGAATAACAAACCGATTAAATTAACAGAGGTCCCCAAAACTAAAAGATACCAAAACAGATCTCTGGTAAACACGAAGTTAATAATCTATTTAACAGAACTTCACTCCAATAATCCACTCAACCAAATCAAAGAACCAAACAAATCTGTCCCCAAATCAAATAAAATCAGAGACCAACAAAGTTTCTGATAAGGGAAGGCCCAACAGATAATATCAAGTCTCAAATTATAACAAAGCGTCTTACAAGGAAGACTCAACAAATATCAATTCACAAGACAAGCAATCAGATGCAAGAATATTGTTCCACGACTACTTCAGTATCCCAAAAACAAACCAAACAGTAGAAGAACTCAAACCTGGCCAAAATTGGTGAAATACAACCTTGTCCGAGGCTGTTCTTCACGAAAATAAGGTTTTGTTATCAGAGGATAACCAACAATTGATCGAAAATATCAAGCTGATCTCGGAGAACAAAGCTGGACAGAGAATGGACCACACGCGCACCTCACGTGTCTGCCGGGAAGTTTTGGTCAACTCCGACGAGACAAACTCAACTCCGGCGAAGCCACAGATGTGGCTCTGATACCATGTAATTAACAAGGTATGGAAGAATCAAATTGGTATATTATTCCATGTAGTGATACATATATATCCATGTACATCAGGTGCTAACTAAGGAAAGAAAATAAAAGAGATTCCTACAAATCTGCTATCTATATATGGGTTATATACACTACTAAGAAACAGTCTATGTTCATTGTTTAAAGTGTCTAGGTTCATTCTGTAACATGATGTATTGCTTCTCTCAAAGAAACTTTACATGCTTATAATTTGGTGTTAGTGGATATAATTCATTTCTCTCTGTGTTAAACACAGAGGCGGATCCAGGATTTGAAGTTTATGGGTTCCTACAGCGACTTTAAGTATTTAGTGAATTTTTTGATACATGTACAGGGTATGTGCCTGGGTTCACGGGAACCCACACCTACTAAGCTGAATCCGCCCCTGGACTTAAACATGTGCTGTCCACATGAAAGCCAAACATTTATTAGTATGGTGTTGTCGTAAGTTGTGGAATGGATATTCAATTGAGCAACAAACTATGCATTATACTTACCCTGGTTAATGAAACATCTCAGTTTCAAACCTATGACTTGAAGCAATCTTTAAGCTACTTTTGCCACTTTTGCCATTTGCTTTTTACAAAGGGGATTCAATTGAACCCCTTCAAACATGTAGCTCTGTCCCTCTGCAAGCATATTGGAACAAAAACCAAACTTTTAAAAGATCTGCTGCACTGTTCATTAGCTAACTAAGAGAATGAACTTTACTTGGATTTTGCAGGTATATCGGAAAATGCATTAGACACCGATGAAGAAGGACTATCGGCCAATGAACAGAAGAAAAGTCTTTTGCAAGTTCAAGTGGATGAAAGAAATAAAGCTGAATTCAATTATGTAAAAGATGTGTTGGAATTATCTGGCTTTAGTGGAAATATATTTATGATGAACCCTTCAGTATTTGAGGAAATGGATGGATGTTTGCTTTCTCAACCCGAGAGCTCAGGATATGCTGAATATGGAAGCTGTAATCAACTTCTTCTGTTTGATTTAATCAATGAGGTCTTATTACAACTTTATGAAAGATCATCTTTATACTGGCCAAAGTCTTTAACGACTCGTTCTTTTATCCATCCAACGCCTGTGGCATACCATCTGCTTGAGGAAGTATGGACAGATATAAGCTGGTGTCTTAGCTTCAAGCTGGAGAATGATCTATCACTTGATGATGCTATGAGCCATGATCTTGCAAAACGCGACAATTGGATGAACCTGCAGTTTGATGCCGAGTGTGTTGGATTGGAGCTCGAGGATCTCATATTTGATGATCTTTTAGATGAGCTAATATTCATCGACGTTTATTAAGGCCAGATAACATACCTTTCAGTACGTGCAATATTAGTTCCGGGGTAGGTGTTTTAACATTTCCTTTTCTTAGAAACACTCCCAAGGTCCACTGCTACAAACATCCGGATCTGCACAAAAATGTGCAGAACTGTAGTATGAGTACGGGACAACATGTACTCAGTAAGTATCAATATTAACCTCGGTGAAGTAGTGACGAGGTTCAAGTCATGTGATACTCACTAGTCAAAGAACCTAATAATAGGAAAAAAGAATGCTGAGTGAATATGGCTTTAACAAAATTCTTTCAGACTGTACAGATATGGTAAATTAAGCTTAAGGGAGTATATTAGAAGTTTCAGTTGAGATTCGTAGTATTAGCAAGAATTGTAACTAGGACAAGCTACCCTTAGCAAAATCAGCAATTAGCTTTGTCTTACTGACATCAGTTACTTGTTCAAGTGAAGATCTGTATATGCATGGTTGTGTTATGTACTTATTGATTATGATTGTGTAAGGATGTTCATCTGAGTTCTCATTGGTAAGTGAATGAAGTATTTCTAATGTATGATTCACTATAAGTTTTTATCCAAAGGACCAACACAAGGTAAACGCCATCTAAATTGAAAAGAATGAAAAATTATCTATAGATATCTATGAAGATTAAGTTCCATATTATATTGGATCGTGCACTTCCCTTTTTTTCATCATTGGACATGCACTTTATTGTGGTTAAATGGAGCTTTTTTCTTTCTTTCTTTTTTATTAAACAATTTGTATTTTGGCTCAAGTGATGAGGGAAAGAAATGAAACATAACTTTGAGCCCCAAGCATCTTAGATCTCAAAAAGTACCTTTTGGTTAATCGTAACATAAAAGAAAAAAGTTGACTCAGTGCAAAGTGCCCGTCTAGCTCAGTTGGTAGAGCGCAAGGCTCTTAACCTTGTGGTCGTGGGTTCGAGCCCCACGGTGGGCGATTCTCTGATTTTTCACTTTTGTACACACACACTTATCTCCATCACTAGCCTCTCGTAAAGTAGTAATATGACCTCACTGATTAAATTAAACAGAAAAAATTTACACCAGCTACCGCCTTTACCATATCTAGAAAAGGTCAGGTACAACCTGACTGTTATAGTTGTAAAATTAACTACTAAAATTTGACTAAATTTTCCATTATAGTGAATTAGATTCAGTGTTCATGTGTGAAATTAGTTCTCCAAAACGTATCTGAGACAGAGCTCATTGGATCAAGGAACATAAAGAGATCTTTTTAATAAGGTTCAGAGGTAAGGCAGATAAATTGGTTGAAGCTGGAGGACAGTGCAGAAGTAAGCTGAGAAAGATCAAAGAAAAACTCAAAACCTATCATCGCTTTTCAACATATTGTTAATTACGTCTGAATCTACATTTTCACAGTAGTCAGAAGGGGGTTGGCGAGGAGGGGGAAGGATATCATATTAATAATCCATATACCTACTTAGACTATAATTTACACCTTTAGGAAACCAGTTCAATGGATCAAAACAACAATAGAACACGACATATATTTACAATCTCTGTACAGCAATGTGTGATAATCAGCCGCTCCACCAAAGTCACTTTCATGGGCTACAAACCATCCCTTTCCGGTAAAAGCAAATCCTACTTCTCTGCCGCAGATGTCAAGCCTATTTATCTGCCACATGTTTATATGTTAGCAAAATAACTACGCTAAACATGCCATAAATTAGCAAATCTGAACCATCAAGGGATTTTTTTCTATTTCCTTGTGAAGAAAAGAAGACGAGAACAAAGTAACACAGGAAAAAATAATGACTGGATTGATCAGGTGCTTGCAAGTTGCAGTAAGGTAGACAGTCAGAACAAAAGAAGAATCAGAGGGAGGCACTAAGAAACTTTTCGCAACAACATTTTGTAACATTTTTTAGCAGAAAATCTCAATGCAGAAGCAGCAGTAGAGACTGCAACATGAATGTGGGATGGGATGGCAATGAGACAGGTCCATCCCACCCACACATGAATGAAAGTGGAGAGATACTTAGCAGGTCAATGTTGTTTTTGTTTCTTTTTATCTAGCAGCATGTCTATCACCAAGTTCAGCTCAACTTAACAAAGTTATTCTAGACGTCTTCTATTAGTAATTTTCCGTGTTAAACCTTTCTGATTTTTAACTATTATGCTTTGATTAAGATTCCGAAAACTAAATTAAATCTAGTGAAACATCAGATTAGATTGTAATATTGCAAACTCATCTTGAATGCATAACATATCAGCTATCGTTACCCTGCCGGGCAATACCCTGCGCGGAAACTATGCAACTTCATTTTGATTACCTGTCCAACTATCATTCAGAAATTTCAGTTTTCTTTAACTATTACTAAGCAAATTGGATAATGATTTTGGAACATAGGGAATAAAATGGCAAAGAATTAAATGCTTACTTGGACTGCCTTGGAAACCAGATGCAAACAAAAAAATCAGATTTGAGGACACTCGTCTAGCTCAACTATATAGATGATTAAATACTAAAAACTAACATAACAGAACTTAAGGCTAGCATATTTTTTGGCTTACCGGGGTTGGGGGTTGGGGGGGTTGGGGGGAGGGGTGTGGTGTGCGGAGGAATGAAAAGAAATATGTTACTTCAAGCTATTCAAATTTTTACCATCAGTTTAGGAAAAGGAACAGAGGGGCTGATGCAGCGTAGTCCAGTCATTTTAATCAGATTTCACAGGTTAATTCATACACTAGAGTTTTGGATGGCTAAAGATTTCCAAGAGAACTGCAAATTTAAAGATCTAATAACCCTCACCCCCAACCCCACCCCACCCCCCAAAAAAAAATCCATGTGGATTAGTAAAAATAAACCAGGAATAAAGCTATTTGTATAGATTTTTAATCATATCTTTTGGTCCTCATATGAAACCTCAAAAGGAAAACATCTATTTGGCCCATTTCATCCCAATACCCAATAATTTCTCTCTTAAGATAAAACTGGGGGCCTCTAAAATTAAATGTTCTCTAAATCTCACTCTTATCCTTAAATTGACATGCAAACTCTAACCAAACTAAACCAAAATAAGAAGACTTCTGGCAAACACTATCTGAAACCAGTACCCGCTAAAATCATGTAAAACTTGGACCTAACAGTCACAGACAAGGATGCCAAATATCCCTGTACTTAGAATCAAGTTGGTCTAAGACCTCTGATTTTTCCACGAGGGCTCCTAGAATGCCCTACTATGCAGAAAATCCCAATAGAATGCCTGTCCTTGCCCAAGATTGCATTGTTTATTGTAAAATCTCATTGACCAATTTTGAGCCTCCACCTAGAATTTTCGTGCCAAGTCTGGAGTTCATTTGTTGGAAACCATTTTTTAAAATCTCAGCCACTTCACTAACATGGCTTAAGGCACTTCACCTTAAGTTTTTTTAGCTCAGGCACTTCATTAACAGTGTTAACTGAAATATCAGGAAAAATAAATTAACTTTGTACCAAAAAAAGGAATATAAGAACCATTAATCACGAATAATCACAAAAAGGAACTGTCTGGAGAACCCTGCTTCCAAGACAAGCAAATGAAACTGATCTATTCACACATTGGATTACGTCTGAAGCGAACATTTCTCAGAATAGGAAAACGTCAAAATTATAGACTAACCTCGATAATCTGTATATTAGACAGTAGCAGACCGCAGAACATTGGACATGCTGTGTCTGAGCCAAAACTCAGAACCAGACAGCTGATAACTTTTTACCATCTTTGACTAATTCCTGGGACCTAGTTAACCTGCAAGAGTCAAGATAAGAATAAAGATAAACTACCTGTCAGTAAGTAAAGACAAATATACCGAATATGGCGATCATGAAACGACCTTTACCAGACCTTACGAAACAGTCGAACTAAAGCATGAAAAAAGTGCCAATATTCGTCTGACGAAGCACCTTTGAACTACGATCCAGTCCATGAGAAGCCACCTAAATAGTTGATTCAAATAAATTAGCAAGCTGCTATAACTAGAGGTATGGAATAAAGATAAATATGATCCAATGTCTCTCAGAGAAAAGCGCCAGATTTAAAGCAATAGCTATGCTCATTTAGATTTCAGAACTCAGAAGTACAAGACAAAACTTCCTTGCTATGATGAGATAATCATGGTAGTTACTAACATCAAAGAAGAGGACAACTGATAGAGAGAAGGGGAATAAGAAAAAGTAAAAAAATATTAGAAGACAACACAGTACAAGACATGCAATTACTATAAGTCTAGTTTAGGCACATTTGGCAGTAGAGAACCATGAACGTTATGAAACGAGAAAAAATGGCTCTTAACGTCTTACCTGCTCAATTTCAGTACATTATATATGTATGAAAGCGCATTTAACCGTCTAAGCAAAATGAGGTCCCTAAGCAGTGGCTAACTGTTTGCACTTTAAGACATTTAAAAGCTCAGAGGTGCACATGGAGTACATAATTAACTCTAGCTTAAGCCATACTACTACTTTCGGTTCCTTCAACAGTTTTTTCTGTTAAATCCATAATAATCAGAGAAGGAAGATTCTCTATTTCTCTTTTCCTCCATAGACGGGTCTTTTTTTTTAACCCATTGTCTTGCTTTATCTCCAAGGACATAAAAAAGGCCACCTAAAAAATAGCACAATAAGAGGAACTACCTCCAAGGACATTAATCAGACCACCTAACAAATAGTACAACAATAGAAACTCAGTCACCGCATTAAATTATGCAAAGTTCTTTCTATACCATATGAGTTAAGGCAGCATAGCGTTCCTCATTTAGATACAATGGCTTCCCACGATGCATTTCGCTATCCTGCAAGTATAAAGAGAAAGTTTAAGATCCAAGTGATAAACACCAAATTCCATAGCACTGCACATGTATATCCATCCACACTAGTCTCGACAAGGATTGAAAATAATTGACCCACAAAAGAAGGAAATACAAAACAAGCTGGAAAAAAACCACTTATCCTTCAGATCCTTAGAGATATCTTATGACAGATTAAGTTGGACTGTCACAAATTGGATACTTTGGAGACATTTCCTAACATGAATTTGACTGAGACCCATTTCTTCTCACTTTTTGACTCAAAATATAGAACTAAATAAATAAATACATAACAAAAACAAAAAAGTTGAAGATGATTTGAGGGTACAAGAAACTTAGAAAGAAACTTCTCTTCACATAAAAAAAAGTACATAACAAGATTGTTCCAGATTTTATTTTGAGCTTGGCGGTTCAAAATAGCGGGCAACCTTTGAAATAGAACCTAAACTGCCACTTGATGCTTTTGCATCTCTAATCCTTCACATGTTTGAGTGCTGTGCTATTTTGACTTTCATCTTCTTCTTTTTTTTGGTGTAGTTCTTTTACTCCTATACATCTTCCATGGTACTCCACTTCCACATTTTTAAGTTTGTCAATTTTCAGTTGTATGGTATTTTCATAACGTGCTTAAGCATGCACTAGTCCTGTCAGACTCTGTAATTCCCAAGGAATTTATCTGAAAGACTAATACTGTATTTACAAGGTTTGGCCCTTCAAGAGAAGTTTCAGATGTTTATTTATTTGCGAACTTTCCATTTTTCCTTTCAACAATACTATTTTACATCTGGCAATTGGTCTATGATTTGCAAAATTGACGTCTAGATAGATGAGCTGAATCTTAATATGACTACTAAGCAACAGTCCAATTATTTGCAGTACATCTATTACTGAACCACAGAAACCCGATTGAAGAAAGAGTGAGCCATATTTTATATATCAAAGATCAATCTTCTTCCCAAATAAGCTGCGCAAATTTGACAAGGCAACAGTCCAAATTTTTATCGTATACAAACACAGAGGGTTTCTAAGTGGAAATAGTGAATAGAAGTGGAGATAAAGACAGCTTGTTGATGAACTTATACATTTATTCATATACTATAGATAGCCTATCTATCTTGATAGGTCAAAAGAGATAAGAGCCTAGGCAAGCAAGAATAAGCTGCTATTCCAAGGAGAGAGGTAGAGGATCCATGTTTCGGTAATATCATAGGTAAAGAACATTGACAGGAGCTAGGAAAGCCATTCATCAAAAAGTGGATACATTTTGGGACAACACCAAGAGGGAAATACAATAGCATTTCATAAAGGAAGTATACACAGTTTTAAAAATAATATGTCTATATTTTTGCACTGTTATATTTGCACCGTGCAACTTACGTGTACATAATACATGACTGTTAAAAAGCTTCTGACATTAGTGCCAGAAACATTGTGGAACACAAAATACGTGAAGAATGGAAATAATGATATAAACTAGGGGGAAGGAGCTGAAAGGAAAGAAAGGGAACAAGCCAAGTATGTACCCAAGCATGTCCTATAGGATAGGAACTAATCTTTTACAAGCAAATTACAGTTAGCTGTATGAGGAATACTAATGGGTAGAATGAACCATGGAACATCATTGTTCTTGAAGCTTTGATCAATATTAGAACATCAAACCATGTGTTAACACTATTCTTATACACCCCTCCCCTTTTTTGACAAGTAAAACCTTTTCTTACAAAACTGGTTATTAGGTAGCAAGAGGTCCAATAGGTGGCCTTTTAAACCTCTAACAATTAGTGCTCCATCAGTTGAAAGATTTAGCTCTAATTTGAATAAATGCATGACCCACAATTCAACTTTAAAAATTAAAGCCCAAAACAAACTGGTTATAAGAAGGATATGAATTACTTGATTGTCTATCCCACTTTGTAGCAAAATCTCAAGTAAGAAGCAATAAAAAGAAAGATAATTATATCCAAGCCAGTGTTATCAAAGGCGAACAGTGCAAGAAAGCTCTAAGGTTCGTTGGGGCTTTAAGCGCAAAGCTCAATAAAGCGTGGGCTTTAATGAAAAAAGGCGCAACCGGAGAAAAAAGTAAAAATATGTATATGTAATCCAAGACAAATAATTATCAGCATGAATAGCAAATATATGGACAAAGAAATTGAAAAAAAAAAAACGATAAAGTGAAATATCAATAGTTTAATGTCGTCTGTTAAGAATTACTCATTGGCAAGGAAAAAAAGTATGCCTTAGAGCCTTGATGCAACACTAAAGCGCCCACAAAGCGAGGGGAAGCGCTCAACATGTTTTGAGCCTCGCTTGAGGGCTTAAGCGCGCCTTTGACAACACTGATCCAAGCCCACCATGAGAGCACAAAAAGGCCTTCGAAAATTACTGAACTCAGGGCTGCTCAATTAGAACATTTTATATATCAATTTTACACAAATACCACGTTTCAAATTCATGTTAGTTTTTCCCCAGGATTTTAGAAACTTCTTTGGAGTGGTCGGAGAGTATCCTATCATCATCTTATAAAAAAATCACTTTTCCCGTTCTTCACCACCTAAATCTAAGCTCCAACATAGCCCCAAAAAGAAAAAGATGGAAGATGAAATAAAGGAATAGAACCCAAAATAGCTGTTCCAAATCTTCGAGTGAAAAGAAGATATTGCTACCAACGTGTGAAGCAAAGTCTTTCTTCTGCTATGAGCTGGATCCATACCCCCAAACCAAAGTTGATATATTCACTGGCGACAACACAGAGAAGCAGCAGAAGAAGATGGATGTCAGGTTGTATATACATATATATATATACACACACACACACACACACACACATATATATATATATATGGATGTATGGAGAGAGAGAGAGAGAGAGAGAGAGAGTTTGGCATTGCGAAAGACGGAAGAAAAAGGGGATGGTGATTGGAAACATCCTTTTGGTCAATATGAAAAGTGACTTGTCAGCAGATGGCTACAAAGAGGCGACCATTTATGACCAGTTCCAACTCTACTTTCTTCAGTTTGTGGAGAAAAGCACGGTCAATAACTTTGGTGCCTTACTGAATTGACTCCAATTTGGGAGGACTTTCTTGAGACTTTCAGTGCTTTCTCCTTGGGTGAAACAGTCTATTTTCTCCCTTCCTCCATATTCTTAAGAATGTAGATGAAGAAAAAAAGATTGATGTTAACTAAACACTAACCGTGTGCAATCCAAGTCCTTTTACACTATGCAAGGATAGCTAAACCACTGACTTACCTCTTCACCAAATGCGTCCAAGTATGGGGAAGGCCATAATGCCTGATGAGCGGATTTTTGAAGCAATATTGTGGTTTTCTGTAGTGAAAGGACAATCATAAGTCATTCTACTTGCCCTAAAAGACGGTATATTGCATCAGAAAGATCAAGACAAATAAACAAGACAAAAAGGAAATAACACTTACTCTGACTAATAAGAACACCCCAGTACCCGCTCCACAAACCATTGCATGTGTTTGGCACCCACTTTCCCTGACGAAATCAAATGTCAAACAGAATTTCAGGGACTACTAGAAGAATAAAAGAAAGATGCACTGCAACTGCATTTGTACCCGCAACATGACTTCCAATTCGGAGAGCACAGTTTACCACACAGCAAGCACAATGCAGGCTCCTCCTGTACAACTCCACAGTCTGGACAGTGCTGTTTAATATACCTGAAAGTAGCAGAACATTCCAGGGTTATAAAAAGATAGTTTAGACAAGTCAAATAATGTATGTAAGCATGTATATACCAACCTCTGTAAGAGGTCCTGGTAAAGATGAGGCAAAAGCATCAGCTTAAATGGGACAGCAGGGGTAGAATACAAAACACTCTTTAGACTATGAGCGTCAAACTGCTTGGAGAAACGATGCAACCATCTTGGAACCACAAAACGTATTATGTTATCATTAATAACATCATCAAGTTGGGGAATCTTAAATAACTTTTCCAATTTTTCAATCTCAGTGAACTCATCTGCAATTTTTTCACCACATTCCATTGTTTCAGCCATGGAATATGGTAATCCATCTAATACGTTATTCCCGTCACTAAATGGTTCTGATATAGAAGAACGAATCAGTTTCCACAATAATGCACATCTTCTTAAATAAGGAAAACTCTGGCTACGAATTGCATCTTTGATGTCACAAGTTTCAATATGATTAGAATCAAAATATTTATAAGCAACTCCATATTCCTCCATTATTCTGTAGACGTCAGTAACCAGAGAATCACTGCCTCCTGACTCGGTCAAACTAGTTTGCCGCTTTCTGCAATAGGTAATTATAATCTGAAAAGAAAAGAAATGACTTAGCACCAATCAAGCACAAAAGACCTAATCTGTAACAAAGATAACGATTGGACGAAGAAAATTTGCAATAACCTGAGTGATAGTGACAACATAGAAAAGATGAACAAGAGACAAGAATGATTCCTCGCACGACAGAAATGGGCTCGGAAGGCAATATAACACCCACATTAATGATGAAAAAGCATCATGTGCAAGAACTGGATCAGAAGCTCGTTTCCAGAACTGAATATCGGGGTACTGTAATTCTGTTTCAGAATATTCCAAAATGTCTTGCATATTACCTGCAAAGCACACCAACAATCATAAACTGCTTCTAGATTCCCCCGACATCAATTACCACTATATTCATGTTCCCAGAATCTCAGCTTTATCCTTTACAAAATAATAGAATCATAAAAAGCAACTTATGGAGCAGGAACTGTACCTCCAACAGATGGACCGTCTGGAGGCTCATCTGCAGAAGTGCCTGAGCATATAGACTCTGCAAACAACTGAATACCTCTTAACCTCAACAGGACAGTAAGTGAATTCTTTGTCCGTGTGCTTTGTACAATACTTAGTAACAAGGCTAATATAAAACAGTTTGAAGCTTTGAGTTCTTTGTATAGGGCATCAAGGCTGTAGTTTGGAGCTAAAGAAGTCTTCACAGATCGAGCAGCAATTTCTGTTGATACAAGCGAGTACTTGAGTATGTCAAACAAGATCAGAGAATGACTAAGCCTACCAGATTCTGAAATCTTATCCTTGTCTGGGAAATACATTTCACATAATACCCCAACCACAGATTCAAGATTTATTCTCATCTGCCCAAATTGCTGAAGTGGAAAACTGTGTAGAATCTCTTTACTTCCAGCAACATCAGCTGCGCTTTGCAGGAGAAATAAAGCTTCTTGAAAACGAAGTGCTGAAAGGCCTACAGCATCTGATGGACCAGTTGAAACAGACTGTGTCGACCTTTTAGTGTCTCCAGGTAATGCTGGCAGCACTGAGTTGGCAAGTCCACGGCATACAGGACAGAGGAACTCCCCCTGAAAAAATGAATAAATGACAATAATTTAGCAATTCACTGCATAAGAGAGCAGAGAAGAAGAATATAAAGGAGTTTCCGAACCTGATCCGGGTTTACAATATGACCTCCTTCGATAACTAGTCTTCTGGTATACCTGCGTAAAAGTTATGAGCCAATTACTGCTCTAAACTTGAGGAATTGGACGGAAGGCCAACTAAGGAGCACAATAATACATCCCGCATAGTAAGTCTAACATAAAGTAACCTTTTTAAGTTTGAGAAGGAAATACTAGAATAAAGTAGACTAAAATACAAGATCAGTGATAGGAAAACAACCCAGTGACACAGAGAAATTGAATTTCGCCAAATCAGAAAAATAAAGAACAGCAAAGATTGATAATGGCTTAGGACATTCACTTCAATGATCAGACAAGACAGCCTCAGAAGTACAACAAAAGCAAGGAATAAAAAAACTTACAAGGCACCCACCCACTTTTTTGGTTAGGAAATTAGTACCTTTCCTTTAGCGAAGATAAATAGCGGTCAAGACATCCCTGATGCACCGCATGACCACAGGATGAAAGATATACCCCGTCACAATCTGACGGACCAAATCCATCATATGCTGGACGCACCATACTTGACTCAAGTTGTGCTTTGTGGCTATTCACCGACCCAGAAGGACTATGTTCTCTTGAAAGAGCAGAAATGTATCTTCCAAGCAAAAGTGACGCAGCACGCCTACTACCACCCAATGCTGAGAGCTTCTTATCATTTTTCAAAGGATCCCAGTTCCATGAGTTAACATCCATTTCTTCCCGAATCAACGAGTACATGTGTTCTTCTAGCATCTCAAAGGAAGAGACTGTCTTTTTCTTTACAATGCTTGATACACAAGGAGGTTGAATGTTCTTCATTGAGGGGAATTTTGCCTTGATATATTCCACAAATGCTTCCACTTCATTAGGTTGTCCTTCTAAAGCAAGCTCATTTACTTCATTTTGGATTAATTGCATTAACCAAGTCGATGAAATAATTTCTGAACTTCTTGAGAGATTGCTCCTTTCAGATAAAATGTCTTTCATTTTTTTGGCACAAGACATGGGCTCTTTCCCAGAGCGGCGAGTTTGTTCCCATGAAGGAGGACCTTTGTTGGTGAAACTGAGAAGCCTGGATTTCTTATATCAGGAATCAAGATGAAATGAGTATCGTTCACTTTATCAGGAGGATAAATTAACATTCAATAATCAGATAAATCACCAGTCATATCCAAGTAGAAGACAATGATATCAACACATAAAATAGGGCCACCTACCTGAAGAAGAACTAGGTAAGATACAGGGCTTTTAGAATTTGGGTCATGGCAAAGAGAGCAAATCACAGGAGTAGCCTCTTCAGATCTAGGTCTATCATCCGAATTGCATAACTCTTTACCACGTTTAGAATCATCTGCAGCAGCATCTGCTGTGGTATCAATGCTTGCTAAGAACTTGGATTGTTGGGCCCTCATCTTCTCCTGTAAAGTAGGCATGGAGTAGATTGAGAAAGTGACCGAGTCAAACCAGATTCTCCCTGTACTATTAACTAAAAACAGAGAGATTAAGTTTTCTCTAGTTCTACTATGGTATGGCAACATAGCGCAACAGAAGTATGCATCAGAATGACAATGACACAAACAACATTCAAATCTATGATATGTTGTGCAATTCTCTAAATCTATGTTTCATATATAGAGGAAAAGCAAGGCTAGCTTCAACTTTAGGGAGAAAACTAAATTGCACCACTTGATTCTTTTTAGCGCCAAGGAGCTTTTTTATGGGGCCAGTGCATGTTAATAAATAGGAAATACGTGTACATGTTTGTTACCATATTTGGTAATATGTAAGTTCAAACAGGTATCCAACTGTCTTCCTTTATTCGGAAATACTCTCTTTTATTAAAATTGATGTTAGTTTCCAGGCCAGTTGCGCATACACCTCGACAATTTCACAGGGTACCTGCTATCTCCCACCAGCACAGATACAGGGTAACTCTTGCCACCAAGACTTAGGCAAATGGGAAGAAACTACCCTTTTTATAATCATGATGTCCGGACCAGCTTGCACACACCTTGATTAATATCACGAGATACCTGCTACCTCCCACCACCAACAGGTACCAGGTAACTCTATCCACCAAGGCTTGGACTGATGGAAAGTAGAAACTTAGTGCTTTTTGCCTTCGCGGGACTTGAACTTGAGACTCATGGTTCTCCTCCCCTTTCATTGACCATGAAGCCACACGCTTAGGTTCTTATCTGGAACAATAATTCCCTCCATGATATAAATAATTTTGGGCCTCCAACATTCCATGGTAGACTTAACACTAATGACTTGTTCAAGATATCATGGAGGAAAGTATTGTTCCAGTGTTATCCTTCGCGGTGTATAAAGCAGCAAGTCATAGACACGGATATAATAACAATTACAATTGCCTGTTCATCTAAAAAATATTACAATTGCCTGTTTCGAATCCTAGAAGGATGTTTTGCAGTTTGGGAGAACTTTTGTTAATTAAATTATGCGGCTGTGATAATACTAAAGAAGGTAGAGTTTGCTAGGTCACCATCCTCCTCCTCCGGAGTATATGCACTGTAGTATTGCAGGATAAAGTTAGGTCTCCTACTTCATGTGGAATGGAATAGGTTTCTTGCCCTGAACAGGTGTGAGGCAGAATATTCTCAGTAGCAGCAATTATAGCATAACCTACATTAAGTAGGAATGCTTTGTCATTAATACTAAGTTGTATTATTTTTCATTTGGTCATTGTAATTACACATATTGACACAAAAAATGTCGATACACTTTTCTGAGTTAAGAAAACAGATACCTTCACTAATCAACTGAAGAATTTTTAGCTTATAATTTTACTTGAAAAAATAAATATTATTCTGAACATAATACGCCTATAGTCCAGGTAAGGCATAACGTAGTCAATAGACTCAAAGTTAACTCCACCAGCCAAATCACTAACGGGGAAGATTGTGATTTTAGACAATAGAGAATGTATTTTTGTGATTGTAACTAGAGGGATGTTAGTTTACCCTATTATTTTCATTCCACTAACATTATCCTTTTCTGGTACATAAAGATTTTTATACCAAACATGTATTTTTTTTAAATACTGCTATTAGACAAAAACGAAAATTGCTTTGACCAAGCATGTAGAATTTAATGTGGAGATTGCCAAAACCTGTATGCCAGATAAGGATAATTATTTTTTGATTTGGTACCGTCCACTACCACCCAAACCCCCTACCTAGAAGTCCAACAGTTGCATGTGACTCGAACCCCAAACCTTATGGTTGGATGTGGGTCTTTACCATTAGGCTATCCCTCCCCCGTATGCCAAGGAAGGAATTTTCAATTCTCAAGTCTTGACATGCATAGCAAACAGTCGACACAACAGAGCAGCAAAATCAACAACTTGCCGCTAATTGCCTAGAGAGCTGAAAACAGACTATCCATATCTACCAAATTATTTTTTGAACAGGCCATATTTAGCAAATTGAACAACATATCATTAACTTTCTCTTGTGTAATCTCACCAGTATAGCAGCTTGTCTCTCTCGAGCTTTAGCCTTACGCTTATCACTGTCTGAAAATGATCTGAAGCTATTAGTATCATCACTTGGAAAGGATCGAGATAATTGATTGACCACTTCCGGAGCAAGGTCTTGCAGTTTGTCCATGCATTCGGGTTGTAGTTCAGCAAATTTCTTCAGGAGACTTTCAATCAATGATGACAGATTAAACATTCCAGCTTCCACAAAGTCATTTACTTTCTTATGTTTCCTCATTAAGAAAACAAGTAGAGACAGCAAGCTCTGATCACCAAATCTACCCACTGATATTTCTTCACAAGCTAGTGCTAAAATAGGAACAACATCACCCTCAAAGCAAGAACGTTCACCAGATTCCCTATGTGCATAACAAATATCCAATGCTAGCGACAGCAAATGCAGTGATGTTAACAGAACACCATCTGGAGCACGTGAAGCATTTGATTTATCAGAAAAAGCAGCATAAGATACAACTGTGCGGATAATTTGGAGGATCGTCCTACAGGTAGCTACTTCAGCTATTCGACTAAGAGGTTGATAAATCATGCTCCATCCTGGAAGCTGAGTGGTCAAAGCTGATGCATTACAGAAACGCATATATCTTTCTTCAGCTACTTGCAAGTCCCTTGAACTCCAACGAGGATGGTACAGATCCAGTTCCTTCCAATAGGCTAACCGCAGTTTGTACATACCCTGTGATAGATAAGGAATTAGTGGACATCACAGGATAACAAAATGATCAGATTGATTTCCTTTGGAAATGTACAAGGGTTAAAGAATAAACAAAATGTTAGACATAAACCTGATTCATGCCAGAGGGATTTGAATACATCGCTATTCTGTCCAAAACTTCCTGAAATTTATCAATCTTGGAGAGGTCACGAGGAAGAGACTTCACCAACTGACTATGAGTGGCATCACCAATTGATAGTCTATACACCAACTCTCTTTGCAAACACCCACTCGAGGTTAGCCCACAAAACCGTCGTTCTTTCACTATTTGAATAATTAGAGTAAGCATCTCTTGAACTAAAGCCGGTTCATACCTGAGAAGAATGGCAAATGGTATTAGATAGAGCAAGTATTAGATGCATGGAAAAAGTACTTGTGAGATCCCAAAGCATCACACATTATCAATACAGAACATATACAACAAGATACACTATGAAGCAAAAACATACGGTGCAGATCTCATGTCAATCAAAATTCAAGTCCAGTTAACCGAATATTAGCCAATTTATGTCCAGCAATAGCCTCAATGAAGGGACCATCAATCAACTCAAAGAGTATATAGCAACTAAGAACCCCTATACAAACTCAAACTCCCGTTGTTCTCTAATAAGCAACCAAAAATCCTGCAGCTAATGATCTTAAAAGGGGTTTCTTTTTTGATTGACTCGTCAAAGTCATGTGAATGCAAGGATGACACTATTCTTAGATGTCAGACACATCCCTATACATTTTTTCCCGACATGTATAATGATCACTATAGGCATGAATTTAGAAATATTTGTAAGGTACTCACAGTGAAAAGAGTTGAGTAGGTTCAACTATAAAATAGCATACGGGGTACCTTATCGCCTCCCCCTCCTTTATGTATTTCATCTTTTGATATTAATATCCAAGGTAGGGGACAATGTCTAACCCCTCCCCCGCCCCACACACACACACTCTCTTCAAGGGAGAAGTTAAATATAAAAAACATGTCCCTAGCTATTATCCAATCTTCTTTCTGATCTTATTTGTTTAAGTTTCAGGATATCCAGATTTGTGCAGACACCTCTGCCATGATTCATGAAATAAGACGCAATTTAACATCTTTGGCTCCAGTGAGACTATAAAAATTACAAATTTTAACAAGATCAGTGACTCTTCTATCATTTCTTGGGTTATTTTCTTTTTGTGCTTTTTAGTAATAGTAAGGAAATACCAAAAAATCTGGAAGATTACATGCGACTCAGTAACACATGTCATGTAAATATTTAATAGAAAAAGCCATCAGAATAATTTATTCTCAAGAGCAAAACTATCATCAGAAAATCTCAAAATATATAAAACCATCGACATTTTTCACTACCTCTTTTCCAAAATGGAATTGTTGCTAAAAAATGTTCGGAAAGATGTAACTAATCAAGCATTTCTTTCTATAAGGATCTAACCACTGTTAAACATATGATAAATGTGTATATCACTTAACAAGACTAATTGAAAGGACCAGTATTAATCACAAGTATTACTTTTGTACAATTAAGAACAAATTATGGAATATGATTATTCTGACAATGACCAATCTAAGTGTCAAGATCATCCATATGTACTGATGGTGTACTTTAAGACTAAATCATTAATTAAAGAAAAGAGTGCTATATATTTAATCCGCTGAAGCAAACACATAGTGAATGAAAAATGGAAGTCGTCTAGGAAAGAAAAGGAAATGTGAGACATACTCACTAGGGCGTTCAAGATTGAAGGATAAGTAATTTGATAGCTCAAAACGTTCTAAGATTCTATTAATAAATAGATCAGCAGGGGCTAGTGCAGCACAGCATTGAAGCAGAAAGAGGTCAAGTTCCAGACCCTGCTCAGACCTGCACAAAAAGTTCAGAAGAAGAATGGTTAAAAACTATCTGAGGAATCTTTAAAGATTAAATCTCATATAGATTAGCATAACAAAAGAAATTCCTTATTCTACATTGTACGGCCATGTATAAAGATGCACATTGAACCATTTACGTACCAGCGAACAGAGCGATAGCACTCACAGGATAATATGGCCGCATCACCATTCTTACGCCACATTCCAGCATGAACCTGAGCACAAAACACCCTAATCCGAAGAGTGTGTTCCATAATGAAGGCAGAAAACCCATGTGGGTGGTAGCCTCCCAGAATATATCCAAAAAAATCACAAGGGATAGAAGCTGGTTGTGCAGTCTCCCCATAACATTTTCCTAGTGCCTTCTGTAAAACCATCGAAAGTAATCGGTGCAATGGAATGTGAACAGATATATCCTGCAAACTAACTTTATATACTATATCAGGCCAATCAGACAAACTCAGCAACCGGAGAGCTTCTAATTCAGATGCATGATCTCCTTCCAGCATACCGGCATCATGACCACCAAGGCAAGCTGCTTCTCGGCCGGAACTTTGGCCAGAATCCAAGGTAGTGCCACCATTCCAGGAAGGATAAGAATATTCTTTATTAGAACCTTCAGCAGAAGTCGAGAGTCTAACGCCATTTGAAGGAGGATTCTGTGACTTGAGGATTTCTCTGCCTCTTCTAAACTTTGAAAGTGTCTTTTTAAACACGGAGAAATTATTGCCAGGAGTAGAACTTGTTTTTGGACATAATATCTGAAGGAGAGGTCCCAAAGAGTTATCGACTACCAGCCAATTTTCAATGGCCTTTATGCACTCGAATGTTAAACATAAAACAGATGATGATACTGGAAAACTATCAGATTTTACTTCAGGGGCCCTGGATGCATGTTCTAGTGGACTCCTTCCAGTCATACTGCATACAGAACTTTCCTGTGATAGCCTTCCCACTTTTGCATGTCTTTGGCTATCTTGGTCTTCAAAATCTTCTGTGTGTGTATTGGAGAAAGTATCATCAGCATCTTCTGCACTACTCATAGAGAAAGCACCACCCGCCAAAAGAGAATGAATATTTGCAATAGAATGACCCAAAACAAAAGGCAAATGCATATTCTCATCCTCTTCTTCTACATGAACACCAGTTTCTCTTTTTTGTGGGTTCATTCCTTGCACAAAAGCCAGTAGTTTCATCCATGTTCTCAATATATCTCTTCGATCACGAGTCACATATCTGGGTACAGCAGAATGGCTCATGACAAATCGAATATCTTCAACCACACGGAGAGTAGTTTCATACAAATTTGCCCATTTCATGACCTGAATAACCAAGCAACCTCAGCAAACCAATGGCTGGCAATACAGAAATATGGTAATACAGCTAATAGTAAATGCGAACTGACAATATCATAAAACCTAGGCAAAACGAGCAGAAAATCAAACAAGACTAGGTATGTCATCACTGAACAGAACTGTAAAAAGAAAGAAAAGGAAAAGAAAACAAACTAGTTCTGCATTTGCAAAGAGCCTAAGGTCCACCAGAAATAAAACTCATATTGAGTGTTCATATATTTCAGATGACATCCTTGTTTGATCGGCGAAAAGTAAGCCTAAGAAAAGAGCACAATTTTATCAAGCACCTTTGTCAAGCATGAACATTTCTCCTTCATTGTTTCTTTTAAATGGATTATGAAGCAACATACCAACCACCGTCAATTAACTTTCAGATAAACTACATCCAGCGCAATTTATGCTCAGATGACCTGCTAAAGACGGCCATCAACGGAGAACATTTACTCCACTACAGAGGAGAAAAGAACCAAGACGGAAGCACTTGGAAATTCCTCTTAATCAATTAGTCAAGTATTTCCCTTATCAAAAAAAAAACTCGGTCAAGGTACATCAGAAACCCCAATGGTGAATAATCTGACAAAGGTGTTCGGCAAAAATTCATTAAACAATGAATTGCCAAATAAACTATGACTATACATAATTATTCACACTCAAAAACACAGCATTAATGGCTGCATTAAAGAGCATTTGACCTTGGGAAAAATATAATGACCCATGAAAAAATGATCTAGCAGTTCATATGTTTAAATACTATAGCTGATATTGCTTTTTTTGCTTATGTCGTCGAAACAGAGAAGAAATTTTCGCAGCCAACAGTGTCCCTATTGGTTGATAAAGTTAGAATGAAGATCATGGGAGATCTTATCTCGAATCCCAACAGAGGCAAAAAGCTAGGTGATTTCTTCTATATGCCTAAGCTTTGGTAGCAAAGTTACTCCGAAGTCGATATTCCTTGTATTGGTAACTATTACATGCTAAAAGTATATAAAAGATATAGAAGGCAAAATATGATGAAATTAAATAAATAAATAAGTAAATAAATAAATAAAGTACCCTCTACGTTATTGATTATGGTTGTGTCTGTTATACTTCTCTTAACTCGTAAGGTATTTCTTTAAGTAAGATAGTAGTGGATAAAGTTCAATGCATTAAAGAAAAAGGAACCCCCTATATAAAGAAAGAATCACAATTAACCAGTGGGAGTATGAGGTACTCAGTAGAATAGTCGAGTTGTGCAAGTTGATCCAACCACCAACGGAGGAAAAAAGCCGGCCAAAGAAATTTATTTTTGAACGTTAGGTCAACTAAAACACACGAGATTCAAAACCAAACTTGGCCATTCAAGGCTATTCTATTCAAATAAGATGAGAACAGATTCTAGTGCAGGAGTGATTGGCCTTCATTTCACGCATTTGTCTACATATCGCAGAAACTAAAACAATTTTATGTATTCTGATTCCGACTTACTAAAAAAGTTATGTTGTATGACTTCATTTCAACTCCTATATTCGATGTAATTTATAGCTTAATCTATCCATGCATAGGAAAAGTTAGAGCATTTACGAGGTGATATCCAAAGAAGTCTACACCTAATATACAAAATTTTGCAGAGGAATCATACATACATCTCCATCCAAGAACAAGGAAGAACATATTTAGTAACATAAGCTAAAGGGCAGCTTAGTGCACCAGGATCCCGTTATGTGCGGGTCCAAGGAAAGATCGGACCATATTGGATCTATTATACGCAGCCTTCTTGCATTTCTATAGGAGGCTCTTTCCACGGCTTGAACCATAACCTTCTGGTCAATGGCAGCAATTCTTACTACTATTCCAAGGTTCCCCGTCTTAGTAACATAAGCAACACAAGGAGATTTTTACACACATCTAAAAGGAGAAGGAAAGAGGATTCAAAAAAATCTTTTAACAAGTATATAAATATGTTTTTTATCGGGAAAAAAACAAGTATCTAAATATGCTTATATCAGAACTTTAGATTTCGCACAATAATAACAATGATCCTTAATGTAATATAATTATCCAAATCATGCTTATTGATAAATTGAAAGCATAGAGCATTACCTGCAATTTACCATCTTCTCCGGCGCAAGACACAAGTATGTCCCCTAAACATCCCAACAGCATGGGCAAAAGATTCATTTCCTTCACAAGGCGTGGGGTCAAAGTAGGCACCGTAAATATCTGCACAGAGAATGTTGATAGTAGAGGATATTTGTTGAAAACCGTATCATTACATTCCCTTATTGCCTCATTCACAACAGTTGGATAATAGCTCATAAATACTTTTGCAAATTCATATTTAAATTGAGGTTCGGCCAATAATTTCAATAGCAATTCATGAATCTTCTTGACATTTTCTTCAGTGACCATGAACCTCTCTGCCCTCACCAGAATATCTAGTAACCCTGCTGAAGAAGATACTCTCCTAGAGATAAAACTAAGCAAACTTTCACTATGCTTACAGAACTTCAATAGCATCTCCACCACTGCAGATGTCAACTCATCTGTAACCGTTTTGAGCTCAGTAGTATGATCATTTTCTCTTGGGTTTTGCTCAGAGACGCTTTCTGGAAATAGGAGCCTATTTCTCCAAGAAGACAGTAATAAATCAAGTACAGGCCCCAATGAGTTTGCAAACTCCTCTGGAAGAGGTTGTATCTGCTCAGCACCTTTATGCTTGGAACAGAACCCTTCACGTTTCCAAGCAGTAACATCACCACAATCGCAGCAACCCCCACCTGTATAAATGATAGAATAATCGTGGTCCTTGTGGTTCCCATTCTGGAAACATGGAACACAAATTGCACATGTTGGATCATGCTCACATGTACGGCAACGATATGCAATGTCATTGTTACCCCAAACGGCCCCACAAACACCACGCTGACCAGTGTCTGCCAGTTGCTCCAGCGCTCTACTTGGTTCGCCGTCAAACATCAACCACTGTAACCAATTCATACTTTCTCCGAATAAATCTTTAACATTAATGCTTGAGCTGCCCGTGGATTTTGGAGACTCTATTTGCTGTTCTGTAATAACCTCCATTGCCTCCTCATTAGTAGGCAAAAGTGCAGAGACCAACTCTCCCATTTGAGACTTATTACTCTTCACATAAGCAACTAAACCAGGCTCTAGTTGTTCCAAATTCTCTGCAGGAACTCCAAGACTGTCAAGCCTCTGACAAGAGAACAAGGGGTTAGATGTTAAGATCCATTTGAAAGAAACAATTCCCGCTTCTTAAACCAAGAACAAATAGGGTATAGACAAAATATCAACAAGAGATCAAATCTGTTTTTCTTTTCTGATTCTCACAGTTCACTTATCCTATTTATAGTCATTCCTCCACACTATACAAAAATATCTAGAAATGGCAGAATTTACTATCAAAGATCAGGGTAAATGCGACATACCCATCATTGTTTATGATTTTCCTTTTAATCTCGACAGTTAAAACATATAATAACTAGTCAACTAGGGTTAATAAAGTAGCACCAACTAGAACCAACTACCACCCTCCCCCTCAATAAACAAAGGAAGAAAGGAAAACAATAGTTGATCGACGGGATATTCTGCACAGTTCTGAGAATGGGAAGAGGGCGAGCATAGTTCTGAACCATAAAAATCACAAAAGCCATAAGGAAGCATTTGAGTTGTCCCAACATTAGTGCTTCAAGAGCCAGTTTCCGAGAGATACACAACACATATCCAAACTATTTTTCCTAAATATATCATCTAATAAGAACAAAGAACTATTGGAATGAAATGAGAATAGAGCGGAACAAATATAGAGGATTCATACAGCCGAACCCAACTAATTTGGGATTGTGGCGTAGTTGCTCGATTGATCGATATCATCTAACAAGAAGGCAGCAGATATTATGAGAGCAACAAGTACCTTTTTTTTTGGTAAGTACTAAGAGAGCAACAAGTACCATCGCAATAAAAACATGTAGGCCATTATTGCATCTCTTGGAAAATGAACTTTCAATACATGAAAGCATAAAAGAGAAAAGAGAGGGGAAGAAAGCAGCAAATTCTGTAACTGTGTCTATGTTCCTTTTCCTCAAAACTTAGAATCCTCCGTGATGCAACCTGAAAAGGACCGTCTCTAAGCAAGGGTACTCTTCTTCTTTTTTGCCTCTGACCACTACTGACCTCATTACAATTATCCATTTATGACCCTAATAATTTCAAACATTAAAAAATCAGTTCTAAGCCTTACCATATCACCATTTACATAACACCTTAAATAGTGACAATGGAGTCATGCATTTTCACTTTACCAACCAAAATCTTTCTTCTATATCTATCTTCAAATCATCAAATAACAGATATGCTTCTCCCATTTTCACCTGCAGATCCTTACTTTAATTGTCTTACCACTCACCAATCACCATTATGAAAACTCCACCGCCCATCGATAACCATCTGATTCATTTGTCCAACAACATAAGCTCCTCCTAGTCAAACGTCAAGACCCCTTATAGCAGAACTACTCGTACATCAAACAATTTAAATCTCCATATAGCCTCAAAAGCACGCAGACTCTTCGAATAATCTCCTAAGTTAACACTCTCCTTTTTGGCTACCAAAAATCCTGCCTCCATGTAGCCATCCTTCAATTTCCAAAGTAAAAGACTACCTTACTTTCTCAATCATAGGATTAATAGTAAATCAGCTTCAGCCAAAAAGTTCCATTTGTTATGGCCAACTACACGAGAATGATTTTCTTCTCATCCAACACCAGTTTTTGGATCTTCTATTGAACAACTTAAGAATAGGATTTAAGAAAAACTGCTCCTACTTTAGATAGGGTCCTCCCAGTAGACCATGATATTGCACGGTCTGTTCCCAGAGAAGGATGTAAAGTAGCTTTTCCCCAAATCCTAAATATGTGTCAGGACATTCACTAGATATGTACAAATATTAAAATTTTGAACCCGGTAACTAGCACTTGAGGTCGTTGTCCTAGAATCCCAAACCCATAAAGTTCAAATAGTGGATTCGTCTTTGCCTGTTCCCTCTTCTTACAGATAAATAAGCTGGTGCAAACTCTAAGTAACATATAACCTCAATGCAAATGTTTAAAAAATATTCGCACATTTGGTCAGCTGACATGTCAATTTACTGAGAACTATGAAAAAGGTCCATTTGAATGTTTTGCTCCCCCCACCCCCGGTCATTGTCTTGCTGCAGAGCTTAATTCGAAAACGAGAAAACAAAAAAGAGAACAAATATAGAATCAAAAAATGAATCTTGTAAATTATAATAGCCTCAAACACAACCAATATATGATTACCTGAAGAATACGGTCCCGAAAAGTGAGCGTATTTGACTCGGGCGATGAGTCAATCTCCATTCGGAACATTGACCTAATCCAATCGGTGCAATTACAATTCACAATTCCACAATTTCGACTCCCCAGGGCTAAACACCACTGTCAGTTATACTTAATAGTTGTACTATCAAATTACAAATATATTGAAACCTAGCTAAATATAGAGCGTCAGATCCTTAAATTAGAGTTCAAAGCACTGAACTTTAATTTGTAAAATTGGGAAATTTTAACAACAGTGTCATCGCTCTGGAACGATCTGCAATAGTACTCTTTTTAATTTTTTTGGGATAAAGCCTAATTGCGTATGTGCAGTACTATTTGACTTTAGCCTTTGGAAATTCGTCTTAGAAAATGAAAGGCTATAAAAGACGGTCTTAATAATAATAGAAATAGCAAATAGGCCAACAACTTTGCGACTTGTAACAACTACTACTCCTATGATCTTTTGCAAATGCGAAGCATACACTTTTGTTCTTGACATAATGTTTAGTTAAAATTTCTATGTTATTATTATTAACTTTTAATTTTTGTAAACTAGTGTTAGGATACGCGTATATATATGAATATAACTTTTAAAAATTTTAATAAATAATATATTTGAGTTATAAAATAAAAAATAAAAAATATTAGCTCTTGAAATGACATATATTGATTCTATTTAGTTAAAAATAATAGATGACCTAGCTAAGCATGGAAGCAATTCAGATAATTCAGATACGTGATCTATCACGTATCCGCCTCTTTTATTTTAACATTGTATTAAAATAATTGTTTTAGGTACTGTGCATTCTAGACAGGTCAACTAAAAAAAATCGCGACATATAAATTATGTAGCTAAGCAGCAAAACTCCGTCGCTCAATAAAAAATAACGATAAATTATCAAAAATCACGTCCAATTCAAAGTCATTAGTTATAATATCCTTAATATCATTAACTGGATATAAAGAAGAACAGAGATCTTATTTTGATCTTCTTGCAACAATGCTACTAAATTTAGTTGTTATCACCATCTTATAACTAACACGATTATTAAGAAGTTTGTGACGACCCGGCCGGTCGTCCTAGGAATTTATCGCCCCGATCCCCTATCAACTGTTATCCCCAAGTTTATTTCTACTATTTTGAATTGTCAGGACGTTTGGTTTTGAGTTTCGGAGAGTTTTGGGATACCTAGTTCCCAAATGAGAGCTTAAGTGTTGGAAAGCTTACCGTAGTCGGAACAGTGTGAAGGCGGCCTTGGAATGGAAATCCGAGGGTTCCGTTAGCCCCGTTAGGTGATTTCGGGTTTAGGGCATGGTCGGATTGTGTTTTGGAGGTCCGTAGCTAATTTAGGCTTGAAATGTCGAAAGGTCGAATATTGAAGTTTCCGGTTCGATAGCGAGTTTTTGATCCGAGGGTCGGAATGGAATTCCGAGAGTTACTGTAGTTCAGTTATGTCATTTGGGACGTGTGTGCAAAATTCCAAGTCATTCGGATGAGGTTTGATAGACTTTTTGATCGAAAGCGTATTTTGAGAAATTTGGAGTTCTTAGGCTTGAATCCACGGTTAATTTGAGGTTTCGATGTTGTTTTAGGTGTTTTAAGGATTGGTACAAGTTTGGGGAGTGGTATTAGACTTGTTGGTGCCTTTGGCTGAGGTCCCGGGGGGGCCTCGGGATGATTTCGGGTGGTTGACGGGGAGTCTTGAGAATTGTTGCAACTGCTGTATTTTTTTTGCTGCTTCTGGTATTTTCGCATCTGCGGTTTGGGACTACGGAACGATATTCCGGGAGATCCCCTGCACTTTTACTTTGGGACTACGGGACGGTATCCCGAGAGCTCCCCTGCACTTTTACTTTGGGACTACGGAAAGGTATTCCCGGAGATCCCCTGCACTTTTACTTTGGGACTACGGAACGATATTCCGGGAGATCCTCCTGCACTTTTACTTTGGGACTACGGGACGGTATCCCGAGAGCTCCCCTGCACTTTTACTTTGGGACTACGGAATGGTATTCCCGGAGATCCCCCTGCACTTTTACCTTGGGACTACGGGACGGTATCCCGGGAGCTCCCTTGTATGTTTACTTTGGGACTACGGAATTGCATTCCGGGAGATTCCCTGCACATTTATGAGTTGGACTACGGGACTGCACCCGGGAGATCCACTGGATATGGTATTTATATTTGGGGACTACAGGACGGTATCCTGGAAGATCCCCGGTTGCTGTCTTGGAGCTGAGCTGTATTCTCTTACTGTGTTTTACTTGCCTCTGTGATAGTTGTTGCTGTCCTTTATATCTTGTGTTACTTATTTACACTGTTTATTTCACACTGTTAAACCTACTATCTTATTTAACCTCAGTAGGGCCCTGACCTTCCTCGTCACTACCCAACCGAGGTTAGGCTTGGCACTTACTGAGTACCGCTGTGGTGTACTCATGCCCCTTCTGCGCATGTTTTTCATGTGCAGCTCCAGGTACTTTCGCTCAGTCTTATCATCCTTGAGGCGAGCGCTTCTGTAGGGACTTTAAGGTATATCTGCCGCGTCCGCAGACCGAGGAGTCTCTTTCTATTCTTGCTGTTTAGTATTAGCCCTTCTGTATTTTCAGTTCTTGTTAGACATTCTGGAGTTAGAGCTGTGTAGTACTTCTTAGCTTGTGGTTCATGGGTTTCCGGGTCTTGGATTTATGTGTTGGTTTTGAGAGTTAAATATGGTGTATGCCGAGCGGCACATTTATACACTGGTTATTTCTTATTTCTGTTTTAAATTGTTTTACTTCCGTAGATTTTTGGTTTCTTTTCCGCAATTTAGGCTTACCTAGTCGTAGAGACTAGGTGCCGTCACGATGGTTCACGGAGGGCGAACTGGGATCGTGACAAGTTGGTATCAGAGCTCTAGGTTCATAGGAGTCATGGATCACAAGCCGGTTTATTAGAGTCTCGCTGATCGGTACGGAGACGTCTGTACTTATCTACGAGAGGCTATGTAACTGTTAGGAAAGTTCCTCTTCTTGATTTCCTCATCGTGCGACTTGATTCCTTGAGGTTTATGCTTCCTTCCTACTCAATCTTACGCGACGCGAACCACTTGTTATAAATCGAGAATTAAAGAATTGTAATGGTACTACAGATGTGGTGCGGGATGTTTCTCCCGGTATAGTTGGGTGAACTATTGTCGTCGCCTTGCGGAAGGGTTTTTCTATCGTTTCGGCTCGATAGTTGTGCTCCTAAGAGCTTGGAGGCTATGCACAGGTTACTATGATACTCGCGATTGGTCATCACACAGTATTGACTTGATGGTAGGAGGCTTGCCTATGTGTTGGGGCGGTGAACGAGTTGAAAGGAAATCTACTTAGTGCACGATTCAGAGATATGATATTTCACTTCCGGTAAAGGAAAAGCAATTGGCCTATGAATGTCCAGATTTGGGGTGATGGAGTAACGAGACTTGGTAAATTCGAGCATGGTGGAATTTTTATTTGCGATGTAGTGTCGTCGTCCTCGGTTGTATGTGTTAAGTTCGCCGGTGTTATGGTCTTCTGCAATTCGCCCTTGGGGTAAGATATTATGAAATAATATTAGAGAAAAGACCGTTGGATATCGCAGAGTGCGGTGGTTCAGGATTGAATCGGTGTTTCTAATGTCGACGGCTCGAGAAAGGTGATCTCCGAAAAGGTTTAAAGTTAGTAGCGAATTGTGGGTTCAAGTGCTACGAAGATAGATTCTATTAAGGCAACTACTGAGCAACAAAGGATGAGGAAAGACATGTGGGGAGTGTCAGGCGGTGGTTAAACTTTCTAGAAGGCCAGGTATAAGAAGCAAAGGTCGAGTGGTCGATTAGAGGCGTAAGTTCCGCCAAAGTGGGAGAGTGGCGGATTTGCATATGGGCTTTGTGCTAGGATGACTACGCACCTTAAGGAAGAGTTTGGAACGACTTGGGAATTTTAGTGATTGATGATTGGGGGATACGCATTTAATTTGAAGTATTGGGCTATTATGCGGCAGGAGGTTTGATATGACGGAAAGGAGCTACTTGAAACGAAGGAGAACGTAACTTTGAATTGGAAGGATGTTGCCGCATATTTAATTGATGTCCACGAGGGGTGAATGGACTTGTGCAGCTAGAGAGTGAGCTTGGATTCAGGATTTATGCCTTATATAGAGGCGGATTTCAAGGGAAGTGATTCTGCCGGATGCTTCGTCGAGAGGGTATTCATGTGCTAGAGGATTCATGGAGTTGATTATATTCGGGGCCAGGTCAGAGCGGGTGGCTCTCAACAACGGTCCTAGTGGATTCAAAGGGGCAAGGCGTGGTGCCTAATGATTTCGAGCCTATAGGTACGGTTAAGAATCAAGCTTTGTAACAGCTATGAGAAGAGGCACAGAATGTTCTATGATGTTTTGACTCGCAGTGTAGCATTTGGGAGGTATGAAATGGTTCGTGGGATTGAGACAGCATGGTCTCGTGAATTCAAGGTCACTCGGGATGAGTGCGGATGCAGTATGTTATGTGTTGAATGGAGTCATTATATTCTAAGGCAATCAAGAATTAATTTGGAAGGAGATAGATTGGTGAGCCATAGTTGACTTGGCATATTGGCGGTAGTGATCATTTCCTTCAACGTGATCAAGTTATGCAAGTGATTCGTGACGACACGTGTGAGGTTTGTCGACCGCCGTAATTGATGTTATTCAGAAGTATTCCACTGTTATGGCCTGTCATGTGTAGGCGGATCCCGGAAGGGCTATGGCGGCTTAGACCACTACTTAGAGATTTGCATATTCTACGGTTATGAGAATTCACCTGTGTGTTGCTATGGTTCTCCTGAAGTGAGTTAAGTGAAAAGTTTTATATGATGAAGTGTTAATCTATTAGTGGTTACGGAGCTATGATGAAAATCGTGTTCTATCGTATATTGGCATGTTGGTGCAGTATGTGGTATGGAATTTGAAGTGAGGATCAAGGTTGCAGTTCGGTGTTGACAAGGATGTCGCGAGCTCGGATGAGCAGTAAAGAAGTTTCGATGTTTAAAGTAAGTGGGTATCGTCTTCAGCGTCACCTGAGATCGGTGTTTTATGAAAAAGGCCTTGTATCCTGGTTATGGATTCTTGAATGCTTTCTCAGAGTTAGTGCGGCTGGTGGTATGGATACGCGTATTTGTTTTTTGTTACGGAAGGTCGTGGGAGCGTGCCCCACAGGAAGATTGTATAAGTGTGGCATGTAGTCACTTGGTTGATTTAAGATTTAAACCAAGTATGAAGACGGTGGTGATATCATTAATTTGAGAATTTATGCTTGGGGGGCACTCGACTTATTGGGTTGTGGACCGTGGAGGATTTGCCCCGGTTATGATGGTAGTTCTCGTGTGTTATGAGAAAAAGGGGGTTATTATGGACCTTCAAAAGGTTATTAGCCTAGTTCAGTGTGATCAAAATCAGCTTGAGGTCTGTGGATGGATCTAAATGTGAATATGGGCTCTATATCAGGCCAGATGTGTTCATTTCAGCAATGCGCTCCTTTGGACAAGTAGCAGTGGTACTATTTCGTCGTCAGCTATTTCATGTAATGATATATTGCGCCGTATGAGTTGTGAGACGGCTTGATGAATTTCTTATGTGTTGAGGTTCCGCGAAGAGATGATGTTATATGAGCAGGATGGCTCTCGAGATTCAGATCGTATATTCCACCTCAGTTGTGTTTGAGTTTTGTAGCCTATGGCACTATATGTCTCCCAGGGATGGTATTATGCACTTAGAGGCTTGTGACCGATATTCGAAATTTTGTTATAATGAGCAGTTTAGCTCGATGTATATCTCCTTATGTGAATTCTATGTGTGGATCGGGTGGCACGCCGCCATGGGTATGTGAATTCAGATTGATCGAGCTAGGGCACCCAGCTGAGTTGTGGTAGCAAGGGTAGGTGCTCGAGGTGTTAAACACTGATTTCGGACAACCCCAACACAGTTCTTAGCACGTTCGAGGACGAACGTATGTTTAAGTGGGAGAGGATGTAACGACCCGACCGGACGTTTTGAGCTCTAGCACGTCGCTCAGCAGTTGGGGCCATGAGCAGCTTCACTTCAGGTATGTTTCTATGCTCGTTCGAGGACGAACGAATGTTTAAGTGTACGAGGATGTGACGACCCGGCCGGTGGTCCTAGGAATTTAACGCCCTGATCCCCTATCAACTGTTTTCTCCAAGTTTATTTCTGCTATTTTGAATTGTCGGGACGTTCGGTTTTGAGTTTCGGAGAGTTTTGGGACACTTAGTTCCCAAATGAGAGCTTAAGTGTTGGAAAGTTTACCGTAGTTGGAACAGTGTGAAGACGGACTCGAAATGGAAATCCGAGGGTTCCGTTAGCTCTGTTAGGTGATTTCGGGTTTAGGGGCGTGGTCGGATTGTGTTTTGGAGGTCCATAGCTAATTTCGGCTTGAAATGCCGAAAGATCGAATTTTGAGGTTTCCGGTTCGATAGCGAGTTTTGATCTGAGGGTCGGAATGGAATTCCGAGAGTTGCTATAGTTCCGTTATGTCATTTGGGACGTGTGTGCAAAATTCCAGGTCATTCGGACGAGGTTTGATAGACTTTTTGATCGAAAGCGTATTTTGAGAAATTTGGAGTTCTTAGGCTTGAATCCATGGTTAATTTGAGGTTTCGATGTTGTTTTAGGTGTTTTAAGGATTGGTACAAGTTTGGGGAGTGGTATTAGACTTGTTGGTGCCTTTGGTTGAGGTCCCGGGGGGGCCTCGGGATGATTTCGGGTGGTTGACGGGAGTTTTGAGAAATGTTGCAGCTGCTGTATTTTTTTGCTGCTTCTGGTATTTTCGCATCTGCGGTTTGGGAACCGCAGATGCGGCTAAGAAGACCGCAGAAGCGGATTTTGGACTTTCCTTCAGGTTCCGCAGATACGGAAGGAATACCGCAGAAGCGGTGGCGCATCTGCGGAAGGCCAACCGCAGATGCGGTTTCTGGGTCATTTAATGAATGTCGCAGATGCGACGTAGGTACCGCAGATGCGGTCCCAGGGCCGCAAATGCGGGAATCGCTGGGAAGAACCTATATTTAGTTGCCTTTGCAAAATTGAGCCATCCTTTCACCATTTTTCATCCGGGTTTGAAGCTTTTGAGAGAGACTTTGAGGAAAACAAAGGGGAATCACTTGGAGGTAATATTTTTGACTTCCTAACTCGTTTTTATGTGATTAAAGACCTAATTAGTGATGAGAAATTTGTGAAAAAGGGGTAACTAGGGCTTGAGTTTAAGAGGTCTTTAAATGAGGATTTGAGGGGTCATTTGGACCCCGATTTCAGTGTTCTTGGTATGTATGAACTCGTGAGAGTAGGAGGTTCTGAAAACGTAAATTTTATCCGATTCCGAGACGTGGGCCTGAGGGGCGTTTTGGTCATTTTACCTAATTTCGCGTATTAGCTTAGAATTTAATTGTGAAATCAGTTACTTGAGGTGTTATTTACATTATGAAATTGGATTGAATAGATTGGGGCCATTTGGAGTCGAATACTCGTGGCAAGAACATGATCTCGGGTTGATTTTGAGCCGGTTCGAGGTAAGTGGCTTGTCTAACCTTGTGTGGGGGACCTTTTCCCCTTAGAGATTGATATTGTGGTAATTGAAATGCCTCATACGTGAGGTGACGAGCGCTTACTTGTGCTAATTGTTGGAAATCCGGTTTTTCATTAAAAATAGCCTTAAAATTGTGTTCTTCCTTTTCCTTGCTTACACTGTCTGGAAATTAAACCTGCTGTAGCCTAGAAAAGCATGTCTACTTGTCTAAATTGCTCTTTTGCCTTAACTGCCTTATTTGTATTACGTGCACCATGCTAATCTAGGATTACCTGCTTCACTTTGATATGAAATTGATTGGATTGAATTCTTGTTATTGTTGCATATTTATTTTGAGACTACGGGACGGTATCCCGAGAGCTCTCCTGCACTTTTACTTTGGGACTACGGAACGGTATTCCCGGAGATCCCCTTGCACTTTTACCTTGGGACTACGGGACGGTATCCCGGGAGTTCCCTTGTATGTTTACTTTGGGACTACGGAATTGCATTCCGGGAGATCCCCTGCACATTTATGAGTTGGACTACGGGACTGCACCCGGGAGATCCACTGGATATGGTATTTATATTTGGGGACTACAGGACGGTATCCTGGAAGATCCCCGGTTGTTGTCTTGGAGCTAAGCTGTATTCTCTTACTGTGTTTTACTTGCCTCCGTGATAGTTGTTGCTGTCCTTTATATCTTGTGTTACTTATTTACACTGTTTATTTCACACTGTTAAACCTACTATCTTATTTAACCTCAGTAGGGCCCTGACCTTCCTCGTCACTACCCAACCGAGGTTAGGCTTGGCACTTACTGAGTACCGCTGTGGTGTACTCATGCCCCTTCTGCGCATGTTTTTCATGTGCAGCTCCAGGTACTTTCGCTCAGTCTTATCATCCTTGAGGCGAGCGCTTCTGTAGGGACTTTAAGGTATATCTGCCGCGTCCGCAGACCGAGGAGTCTCTTTCTATTCTTGCTGTTTAGTATTAGCCCTTCTGTATTTTCAGTTCTTGTTAGACATTCTGGAGTTAGAGCTGTGTAGTACTTCTTAGCTTGTGGTTCATGGGTTTCCGGGTCTTGGATTTATGTGTTGGTTTTGAGAGTTAAATATGGTGTATGCCGAGCGGCACATTTATACACTGGTCATTTCTTATTTCTGTTTTAAATTGTTTTACTTCCGTAGATTTTTGGTTTCTTTTCCGCAATTTAGGCTTACCTAGTCGTAGAGACTAGGTGCCGTCACGATGGTTCACGGAGGGCGAACTGGGATCGTGACAAAGTTATATAAAATTTGTCAAATTTAATTTGTTTTTAAAAAATTAAAATAAATATAAGTGGTTAAAAAAGAAAGTGTTCAACACTACGTTACCTTTTTATGCTTGGAAGGGTTCCTTTTTATGTAGGAAAATAATAAGTAGTCCTAAATATTAGGCCTTGGAAGCAAATATTTAAATAGTGATAGTTAAATACTAAAACTTAATGTAGTAATTGAATTCTGATGTGTTTATTAAAGGTGTCTAAATTAGTTAAAATATATTGCTCTTGTGCCTTTTTAAAATCCTGAAATTGTATTCAAAGAAGAAAATGTTTTTAAAATCCTAAATTTTAGGAAAATAATAAAATGATAATTTTGTCTAGTATGAATTCTATTTTAAAAGGGTTAAAAAGGCGAACGACATTTTGCTAAGAGCTTTCGTGCTTTTAATATAGTATAGATATAGATAGATAAGTTAGAGAATTATGTATTTCTTTTTGTTATTTAGTGTGATTATGAAATGTATATTAATAAGGAATAATAGCACTTCTGCTCCTTCGTTATTAATAAATTCTAACTTTGATCTTTGTTATATATGACTAGGTACACTTAATAATATTTTTAAGTAAAATGTGAATGGAAATACTAATTAGTAACTTAATAATTTATGTATCACAAATTTCACATAATAATATATGAAATTACTCATAGGCTAGTTATTCATTAATTATGATGCAATAATTATTAATGTAGTAAATAATAATACGATAGGTATTATGGAATAAACAATAACGTGTTATAAATGAGATGAATGCATGTGAGTGAGATGAATGCATTTGTATGTCCATTTAACGTACTTTGTATTCATGTACTCAATTAAGAAGTACATTAACTTATAACTAGTGAATGGATTTGTACCTTTATAAATAGGGAACTTTTGACTCTATGAAAGATATACCAAGAAAAGAAATAACAAAATCATTCTCCCTCATATTTATTTTGTCTCAATTAGTATATTGTTCTATTTTACTCTCATTTCTTAACACGTTATCAGCACGTGGTTCTAACCAACTGAGGTTATCTGCTTCATCCAAATTTTATCTTCTTCCTAAAAGAGGTAGCCAGTTTCTTTTCCGATTCAGTTTTCACTATGTCGAATTTGTCAAAGATTGAATTTATGGCACTTGACATCTCTGGAAATAACTATTTGCCATGGGTACTTGATGCTGAAATTCACCTTGACGCTAAAGGTCTTGGTGACACTATTAAAGAAGGAAATGAAGCATCAAGTCAGGATAAGGCGAAAGCCATGATTTTCCTTCGCCATCATCTCGATGAAGGGTTAAAAAGTGAATATTTAATCTTGAAAGATCCATTTCAATTATGGATTAGTTTGAAGGAACGATATGACCACCTAAAGGCCACGGTATTGCCAAGAGCTCGTCATGAGTGGATGCACTTACGGCTACAAGATTATAAGACCATAAGTGAATATAATTCTGCTATATATAGAATAATTTCCCAACTAAAATTATGTGGGGAACCTATGAATGATGAGGACATGCTGGAAAAGACTCTTTCCACTTTTCATGCCTCAAATATGGTGTTACAACAGCAATACCGTGAAAAGGGCTTTAAGAAATATTCTGAGTTAATTTCATGTCTTTTGGTAGCTGAACAACATATTACCCTTTTAATGAAAAATCATGAAGCCCGCCCCACTGGATCAACTCCATTTCCAGAAGTGAATCTGGGAATAATTGATCCAAATTCTGAAAAAAGACAAAATAATTTTTGTGGCCGTATGAATATACGTAGGCGTGGCAAGGCGCGAAATAATAATCGCCATGGTGGTGGTCGTTATAAACAAGAGAACAATAAGGGTTCTCAGAGTAATCCTTCAAAAGGCAAAGGTAACGTTTGCCACCGATGTGGTATGAAAAATCATTGGGCACGAATTTGTCGTACACTTGAACATTTTGTCAAACTTTATCAAGCATCTATAAAAGGGAAACAAAATAAAGTTGAGACTCACTTGACTTTTCAAAATGATGTTGAGGCAGGCCCTATGAATAATCAGGATAAAGTTGAAGCAAACCTTGCCTATAAAGATGATATTTTTGAAGGTCTTGCAGATATTACTCATTTAGAAGCTGGAGACTTCTTTGAGCATCATAACTGAAGACTTATTATTGGGAAAAACTATAAGAATAAATGTATTTCTTTTTATGAAGTTCATATTTTGAATAAAACTTTTTATGTTGTTGGTATTTAATTTCATATATGTAGTTTCTTTTGTTCTTAAATTTTTAATATTACTTATGATGTATTTTTTTTCTTCTTGAAGAATATGAAAACTTCCCAGTCTTCAGTTGGCCGTATGAATAATAAAGAAGAATTATGTCTTCTGGATAGTGCTACGACGCACACCATATTAAAAGATAAGAGATATTTCTCTTATTTAATTATGAAAGAAGCCAATATCATTACAATATCTGGTAGTTCAAAATTAATTGAGGGCTCTGGAAGAGCGACTGTATTACTACCAGGAGGAACTATATTGGCTGTTAATGATGCATTATATTGTAGTAGGTCTCAAAGAAACTTGTTGAGTTTCAAAGATATTCGCCAGAATGGCTATCATATTGAGACTACCAATGAAGGAAAGGTTGAATACCTTTATATTACTACAATAAAAGCGGAAAAGAAGTATGTGCTTGAAAAGCTTCCCGCATTTTCCTCCGGATTATACTACACTAATATTAGTGTAGTTGAATCACATGCCATAGTAAACAAGGAGTTTACTAATGATTTTATTATTTGTCATGACCGGTTGGGCCATCCCGGTTATAATATGATGCGCAAAATAATTGAGAATTCACATGGTCATTCATTGAAGAACCAAAAGATTCTTCAAACTAAATAATTCTCTTGTGCGGCATGTTCTCAAGAAAAACTGATTATTAAACCATCAGTAATTAAAGTTGGAGTTGAATCTCCTGCATTTTTGGAATGTATAGAGGGTGATATACGTGGGCCCATACACCCTCCATGTGGACCATTCAGATATTATATGGTTTTGATAGATGCATCTACAAGATGGTCACATGTGTGCTTGTTATCAACCCGCTATTTGGCCTTTGCGAGGTTACTAGCTCAATTAATAAGATTAAGAGCACAGTTTCCAGATTATGCAATTAAGACACTTCGTCTTGATAATGCTGGTGAATTTGCGTCCCAAGCCTTTAATGATTATTGCATATCAACTGGGATAACAATTGAGCACCCAGTTGCTCATGTTCATACTCAAAATGGTCTAGCAGAATCATTGATCAAACGCCTCCAATTAACTGCTAGACCAATGTTTATGAGAACAAAACTTCCCATTTCAGCATGGGGCCATGCTATTTCGTATGCAGCAGCTCTTGTGCGGATCAGACCTACAAGTTATCATAAAGTCTCCCCAATACAATTGGCTTTTGGTCAGGAGCCAAATATTTCCCATCTTAGAATATTTGGATGTGCAGTATATGTTCCAATTGCTCCACCACAATGCACAAAGATGGGACCCCAAAGAAGGTCGGGGATATATGTTGGGTACGAATCCCCTTCTATTATAAAATATTTAGAACCTATGGCTGGAGATTTATTTACGGCAAGATTTGCTGATTGCCATTTTGATGAATCAGTATACCCATTATTAGGGGAAAAATATAAGTGATTGCAAAAAGAGATAGATTGTAATGCATTATCACTATCTTATTTAGATCCTCGAACAAAGCAATGTGAACACGAGGTTCAAAAGATAATTTATTTGCAAAATATTGCAAATCAACTGCCAGATGCATTCACTAACCTACCAAGGGTAACTAAATCACATATTCCAACTGCTAATGCTCCTATTCGAATTGATGTCCCGGTTGGACAATCAATAATACAAATGAGTCTAAGCCACGCTTGAAACGTGGTAGACCAATTGGTTCCAAAGATAAAAATACTCGAAAATGAAAAGGAGCAGGAGATCATAATATGGAGGCAATTGATCAAAAAGAGCCCCGTGACATAACAAAATGATAAGACCTCAGAGGAGGTCCAGGTACCTGAAAATAAAAAAGAATGAAGAGATCTCAATAAGTTATGTCTCTACGGGAAAAAGATGGAACCGAAATAATATTATTATCAACAATATTTTTGCTTATAATGTTGCTATTGAGATAATGCAACAAGATGAGGATCTTGAACCAAGATCTGTCGATGAATGTAGACAAAGAAATGATTGGCCAAAATGGAAAGACGATATCCAGGCAGAATTAGCGTCACTTGAAAAACGTGAAGTATTCGGACGTATAGTCCGAACACCTGAAGGAATAAAGCCAATGGGATACAAATGGGTTTTTGTGCGAAAACGAAATGATAAAAATGAAGTCGTTAGATATAAAGCATGACTTGTGGCACAAGAATTTTCGTAAAGACCTGGCATTGATTATATGGAGACATATTCTAATGTGGTAGATGCAACCACTTTCAGGTATCTTATAAATTTGGCAGTCCATGAAAAACTTGATATGCGTCTAATGGATGTTGTCACAACCTATTTGTATGGCACATTAGACAACGAAATTTATATGAAAATCCCTGGAGGGTTTAAAGTTCCTGAAACTAATAAAAGTTTTCTGGAAACTTATTCAATAAATCTTCAAAAATCCTTATATGGATTGAAACAGTCCGGACGAATGTGGTATAATCGCTTGAGTGAGTATTTGCTGAAAGAAGGGTATAATAATGATCCAATTTGTCCTTGTGTATTTATAAGAAGGTCTGGATCTGAATTTGTTATAATCGCTGCGTATGTTGATGATCTGAATATCATTGGAACTCCTGGGGAACTTCCAAAAGCAGTAGACTGTTCGAAGAAAGAGTTTGAAATTAAAGATCTTGGAAAGACAAAATTTTGTCTTGGTCTAAAAATTGAGCATATGAAAGAGGGAATTTTTGTCCATCAATCAACTTATACCGAAAAGATCCTAAAGCGTTTTTATATGGATAAAGCACATCCATTGAGTACCACGATGGTTGTGAGATCACTTGATATAAATAAAGATCCATTCCGACCTCTTGAAAATGATGGAGAGCTTCTTGGTGATGAAACTCCATATCTTAGTGCAATTGGGGCACTAATGTATCTTGCAAATAATACTCGACCAGATATAACTTTTGCAGTAAGTTTATTAGCAAGATTTAGTTCCTTTACAACAACAAGACACTGGAATGGTGTTAAGCATATTTTTAGATACCTCCGAGGGACTATTGACTTTTATTCTTATGAATCCGATTCACAGCTGATTGGTTATGCAGATGCAGGTTATTTGTCTGACCCACATAAAGCCCGATCTCAAACAGGCTATCTATTTACCTGTGGGGGTACAACTATTTCATGGCGTTCAACAAAACAGACTTTAGCTGCTACATCTTCGAATCATGCAGAGATAATAACTATTCATGAAGATAGTCGAGAATGTGTATGGTTGAGATCAGTGACTCAACATATTCAACAACTGTGTGATCTTTCTTTAAAAACGAAGATTCCAACGATATTGTATGAAGACAATGCTACTTGCATAGCTCAACTTAAAGGGGGATATATCAAAGGAGACAGAACAAAGCACATTTCACCAAAGTTCTTTTTCACACACGATCTTCAGCAAAATGGTGAGATACATGTTCAACAAATCCGTTCAAGTGACAATCTAGCAGAATTATTCACTAAGGCATTGCCAACATCAACATTTGAGAAGCTGAGACATAAGATTGGAATGCGTCGTCTCCGATATATCAAATAAAACTTTCATCAGGGGGAGTATAATACGCGCTGTACTCTTTTTCCCTTAACCAAGGTTTTGTTCCAATTGGGTTTTTCTGGTAAGGTTTTTTAATGAGGCAGCATTCGATGCGTATTACAAGATATGTGTACTCTTTTTCCTTCACTAGGCTTTTTCCAACTGGGTTTTCCTAGTAAAGTTTTAACGAGGCACATTATCTTTTAAATGGACATCCAAGGAGGAGTGTTATAAATGAGATGAATGCATGTGAATGGATGAATGCATTGTATGTCCATTTAACGTACTCTTTATTCATGTACTCAATTAAGAAGTACATTAACGTATAACCAGTGAATGGATTTGTACCTTTATAAATAGAGAACTTTTGACCCTATGAAAGATATACCAAGAAAAGAAATAACAAAATCATTCTCCCTCATATTTATTTTGTCTCAATTAGTATATTGTTCTATTTTACTGTCATTTCTTACCACAACATAAATTTTGTTGTCGAGTGAGTTATTATACTGTGGTTGTTGAAAAACATGAATTCTCTAATTTGGAGAACTTTTGTCTTTGGATAACCATATTCTTGTTTACAACATATATTTTTTTCCCTATTTTATACAGCATAAAATTACATTCTCGCATAATTTATAAACACAACCAATGAAAGTTGCATTAACAATGTGGAGATTATCTTGGAGATATAATGATTTATAGGACATGTTTTAGCGGGTTTTCACTTGTCACGACCCAAAATTCACTAAGGGTCGTGATGGCGCCGGATACCACTGTACGGCAAGCCAACCAAAATACTTAATTAAATTCTTTTTTTAATACTCTTGAAATCTATGATTTTCCTCCAAATTTACCAAATAAAAGATAATCGCTTCAATTCAAATTAAATGATAAGCAATTAATACAAAATACTTCGTAACCATCCCAGAACCCGGTGTCACAAGTGCATGAGCAATTTTTAAGAATTTGAATAAAGTACAACGGCTGTCCGGAACACAATTGGACAGAAAGTAAATACAATTCTGAGAGAGAGACTATACTAGCTGCGGGTCGCCTCGAGGAAATACAACTCATCTAGTCTCCGGGTCGCCCGTGCTGCTACGCCCAATGGGGCAATAGGAATACCTATACCTGTGCAACAAAATGCACAACAAGTGTAGCATGAGTACGAAAACAACGTGTACTCAGTAAGCATCCCGCCTAATCTTGAAGAAGTAGAGACGAGATGGCAACTTCGACACTTACTAATGGTCAAATAATAATATTATTAAAGCAATGACTCACGGATTTATTAAGGACCGCAGTAGATTCAGATGAATTACTAAACAGGTAAAAGTTCCTT